ACTAAATGTCGTCATAATATATGCACAAACTGTTTCGTCTGGAAAGCATGCGGATGCCTTTAGGAGGTATCATTTATATCTTACATACAATGGTCTGTTTTCATGTTCTGTTAATTACTTTCGGTCTGTAAGCTACATGAGTTGTAGAAAACCCTTACAGTGCTCCAGGGCATTTTCTCTCAGCTCTCTCTACTCTGGGACACCTTTTCACTCTGCAGAGGAAGGGTACCAATTATTTTTTTGTACCCTTCCCTAGATCTGTACCTCGACACAACCCTGTCTCTGAGCTCTACGGACAATTCCTTCGACCTCATGGCTTAGTTTTTGCTCTGACATTCACTGTCAACTGTGGGATATTATAAAGACAGGTGTCTCATAGCAAAGGATCTGAATACTTATGGTCGATAAGGGCCCGATAAGGTATTTCTGTTTTCTTATTTTTATACATTTGCAAACAATTCTAAACCTGTTTTCGCTTTGTCATTATGGGGTATTGTGTGTAGATTGATGAAGGTAAAAAATGATTTAATCTATTTTAGAATGATGCTGTAACATAAGAAAATGTGTAGGGGTCTGAATATTTTCAGAATGCACTGTATCAGGAGTCCACTAGCTATAGAATGACGCACAGGCAACCTTTACCTTTCGATTAATTTATTTCCCCTCCTTGCCTCTTTTGACCTCACCCTTTCCCAGTCCCCTCCCACTAACAAGGCAGGCAATATGCTTGACCTCATCTTTATTAGAGGCTGTTCGCCTACTAATCTCACTGCAACCCCCCTCCAGGTCTCTGATCACTACTTTGTTTCCTTTCCTGTCTCCCTTTCTAGCCACTCAGCCCCTACCCAGATGGTCATGCACCATCGCAATCTTCGCTGTCTCTCTCCCACTACTCTCTTCTATTTTATCTCTCTCTTCTGCTCTATCCGTCTGCTTCTTCGACCTTACTCTCCTCCCTTTCTGCATCCTATGACTCGCACTATCCCCTTTCCTCCCGGACGGCTCCGCTCTCCCCTCCTGGCTGAGTGACTGTTTGCGAGTTTACAGAACAGGGCTGCAGGCAGCTGAGCGAAAATTGAGAAAAACAAAATTTCCGGAGGACCTATCAACCTTTCAGTCCATCTCTACCTTATCTTCCTCTGTATCTGCTGCTGAAGCCACTTTCTATCACTTGACATTTAAAGCTTCTGCCTTCATCCCTAGGAAACGTTTCTATCTTCTCCTCCCTCCTTAATCCTCCACCCCCTCCTTCCTCCCTCTCTGCTGATTACTTTATCAACCACTTTGAAAAGAAGGTTGACGACATCCACTCCTCATTCACGCAGCCTATTGAGTCCATTGGTTCCATTCACACAGAACTACCCTACGTCTTGACCTCTTTCTCCCCTCTCTCCAGATCCTGTGACTAGTGAGGTCCAGATGCCTGACAACCTGCCCGCTTGACCCCATCCCCTCCACTCTTCTCCAAACCATCTCTGGAGACCTTCTCCCAATCCTCCCTTCCCTGACCACTTGCTGCATCCCCTCTGACTTAAAAATGGCCAGAGTCGCTCCCCTCCTCAAGAAACCAACACTCAACCCCTCTGACGTCAAAAACTACAGACCGGTATCCGTTTGTTATTTTCTTACCAAAACACTTGACACGTGCTGTTTCTGACCAACTCTCTCACTCAGAACGACCTTCTTGACCCTAAGCAGTCAGGTTTCAAGACGGGTCACTCAACCGAGACTGCTCTTCTCTGTGTCTCGGAGGCTCTCCGTACTGCCAAAGCTGACTCTCTCTTCTCTGTTCTCATCCTCCTAGATTTATCTGCTGCCTTCGACATTGTGAACCATCAGATTGTCCTCTCCACCCTCTCAGGGCTGGGCGTCACAGGCTCTGCACACTCTTGGATTGCATTCTGTCTGGCAGGCCGATCCTTCCAGGTGACGTGGAGAAGATCTGTGTCTGTACCACGTACTCTCACTACTGGTGTCCCCCAGGGCTCGGTTCTAAGCCCTCTCCTCTTTTCTCTATACACCAAGTCACTCTGCTCCGTCATATCCTCACATGGTCTCTCCTATCATTGCTATGCGGATGACACTCCATCCCCCTCTGCGTACCTTGCAGCGGCCCACCACCTCAAGCTCAACCTCGACAAGACGGAGCTGCTCTTCCTCCCGGGGAAGGCCTGCCCAATCCAAGACCTCTCCATCACGGTTGACAACTCCACGGTGTCCCCCTCCCAGAGTGCAAAGAACCTTGGCCTGACCCTGGACAACACCCTGTCGTTCTCTGAAAACATCAAAGCATTGACTCGCTCCTGCTCTACACATCCGTAGAGTACGACCCTACCTCGCACAGGAAGCGGCGCATGTCCTAATCAAGGCACTTGTCCTCTCCCGTCTGGACTACTGCAACTCGCTGTTGGCTGGGCTCCCCGCTTGTGCCATCAAACCCCTGCAACTTAGGCTGCAGCCCACCTGGTGTTGAACTTTCCCAAGTTCTCCCATGTCACCCCGCTCCTCTGCACACTCCGCTGGCTTCCAGTCTAAGCTCGCATCCACTACAAGACCATGGTACTTGCCTATGGAGCAGCAAGAGGACCTGCCCCACCCTACCTTCAGGCTATGCTGAAACCAAACACCCCAACCAGAGTACCCAGTTCTACCACCTCTGGTCTCTTGACTTTTTTCTGACTTACTAGCTTTGCTGATAGCTACTTTATTGAGTAACAATGTACATAATATGACTGTGATGTGTGGTTGTCCCACTTGGCTATCTTAAAATTAATGCACTAACTGTAAGTCAAGGTAATTGAGGTAATATGTACATGTAGGTAGAGGTAACGTGACTATGCATAGACTGTTACTACTCTGTTTATTATCTATGACTAGGGTGGCTGGAGTCATTGGCCAAAAAAATTATGCCACCACCAGGTACTGCTAATGTATATATTGTATACTATGCTAGCTCACTGCTAATGTACATAGTGTGATTATGGTGCTACGTTCCTGCTTGCTATGCCCAGTGCAATTGGCCGCTACGTGCTAATCTGTAGTATTACATTGTGTACATTACAGCTATTACTGTTACATAGCGTTGCTATTACTGTTAGCCTGTGCTACATTGCTATTAGCCTTTGCTGATGTGTAATAGGTTCCCTGTTTCTTCTGTTCCATTACAGAAAACCACTTCACTTTCATCTATTCCCTCAATCTACTTCCTATTGCCGTGTGTGTATGTGTGTCTGTTTGTTGTGTGGTAATAAATGTGTGTTCTGTACATCTGTCTCCTACTGGTCATTCACCCTTCTAACCCGAGGGCCCAGGCCGATTTGTACCTATAACTTAAACTGCCACCTCTTTTGAGACCTCGGCCATTTGGTGGCACTCTTTTTTTTTATGAATGCTGAACCTGTGTGTTTTCCATCTCACAATCCTAAGTGCTCCATTCAAGGTGTGTGTGTGGAGTTTGACCAGCTGACACAAGGCTGTGTCCTAATGACAGTGGTTGGCCTTCTCTTTTTCAATGGTTCAACCCAGCCAGAAGACTGGGAAAAGCAGTTGTTGACTGATGCAGGGGGCAGGCTCTCAGGTAGCGTCTGTCCAATCAAATGCTAAACGGAGGAAATGCCAAATAGTCCTGCGAGCTGGCAACGAAAGGGTTACCACAGAGACTGCGTGTTTCCGTTGCTGCTTCCCGCAGCTTGGTACAGAGCCTGTTTCCGTGGCAACAGCCCTGATTCCAACTGGCGCTTGGGAGTCTGTTTCATTGACGTTATCCTCATACCTGCATGAGGCAGGCTGCAAATAAGCGCTGCGCGTGAGAAATTGCATGCCTCAGTCGTCCCATATACCCCTCCACATGTGCTCAGCCTTGGTTTATAAATATCATGTTGCTCAAAATGGGCCCGCGCCAATATTAGCCCTTATCACATGAATTGTGCCATATCTGCCTTCGCTACACACAATTCTCTGCTGGAAGTGATTCGCTGTTAGTGCTCATGGCTACAATTTGTGAAGTTATAAGAACATTCTATTGTTGCTTAATTAAAACTCAAGGACTTTTCTTTCACCTTATGTGTCCTTGAGTTTTAATGAGTTCTGGGTCTACTTTTGTATCTTTTGTAACTGTAGCCGTAAAAGTACACATCTTGGCATGAGTCTTGAATACAATTATGGTTTCATGTGCTCATCATTTTGTAACACAATATTAACACAAAATAATTGAGGAACAGATTTAGTCAAATTGGGTCAGACTCCGACACCCTGGTGATGGATGCCGACCTTCACTAATGGATTCATTTAGCTCTTGTCTATACATATGTACAGATGACCATGTATGCCAAAATCATGTTTAAAATCTGGGCACCCCCATAACAAATTATGCCCCCCCCCCCCCCCCCCACTCTACCACGCCTGGGTTGTGCACATCTTTGCTATATCACAGAATCGGTAGACCAGCGCGGGCCCTCTTGACTGACATCTTGCATTTCAAGGGCTAGTCATAATGTATCATGGGAAGGGTATAGATTTTATTTCTTCATATAATTAACTGCATTATGACAGCCCAGCCGTTCATTTGAGGAAGGGAGAGGGGAACATGGAATTGCAGAGGATTTAAAAAATGCAGAACCGTAAAGGAATTATGAGAATGGCATTAAATATTTCACAGAGGATTTTCAGGCTTTGGGGTTTTAACCTCTAATTTGATACAGAAACATTTGTCACTATATTAGGTTCTCTGAATATGTGCCAAATTTGACTGAGGAAGACTACACCTAAAGAAATAAAGAAAGCCCAGTGGTAAAATCCTAGACATTTCTGGTGGATTCGTTATTTTCTAAAGCCATTGTGTAATGATTCAGAACAATGACTGGATTTGCATTTGCAGTTAGCCCACAGTTCTGTGATCACTCTCATTATGAGTGCAAGATAGAGGCATGACACTTTTATTCTATCCTTTTATCTTGGGTATTTTCATTGCGTCATTAACACATCTTCTTGTTTTCTTCCAGATGTCCACAATCCACTTACTGAAGCACACTCCAGCTACAGCAGCCTCTACTGCCACTGACCAAAATGCACAAACTCCATTTTCCAGCGGACCCCTAGACTCCAAGGACCAGATCAGGGTCCTAGGCGGCGGGCAGACCAATCACTGCATGGCCCACGCCAAGCACCCCAGGATGGGCGAGGCGGGCACCAGCTCAGGCAGCCTCAGCCCCTGCGCCCCCTCATCACCCCTCAATAGCGAGGAGGACGACGGAGGGGGCGGGCGGCGGGCAAAGAAGAAGAAGAAACGAAAGAAAAAAGACAAGAGGGGCGAGCCTGGCGCCGCCTGGCAGCACAAGGGCTCAGAGAAGGACACCAAACCAAAGAAAACGAGGGAGCAGAAAGAAGGGAAGGAGCTGCTGCCACGCAAGTCCAAGGCGCCCAAGAAGTTGAAGGAGGTCAAGGTGAAGGAGGTGAAGTCACCGAAAGAGACACCAAAAGAGGTGAAGAGAGGGAGGAAACCCAAGGTCCAGGTGCAGGCCCTGCCCCTGCCCAAGCCCCCTGCAGAATGCAAGAGTGCACCATCTCCTCCCAGGCAGAGGGGTCGCAAACCCAGGTGAGGGGCTTTTTACCACTTGTGCTTTTGTTTGTCGAATGATGGGTCACAACCAGGTTCTCTTGGATGGGTTGCTGTTAAAGACTTGGTTGTATTTAGTAAGAGACATGGTTGTATTTTTCTAGTGGGGCATAATACAATTCAATTAATTTAGGTGGGTTATAACTCAATGGTTGGAAGTCAGACTCACTACTGCAGTTGAAGAGATGTTAGGTTTTTCCCAAAGGGGAGATTTTCCAGGTTGTACCATGTCCTTGAACCTTTGTGTTAGGTGATGTAGTCGTGGGAGTTGGGAGATAATATTCATCCGGTGCTAATATTTAGCAAAATTCTGTTGTCTGGTTTGCATTTCCTCAGCAGTGTGGGGGGCATTTTCCTAATCACTCTGCAGGATGGACGGATTTGAGATATGAATACTGTGGGCAACCTTTTTTAAACCTATGCACTCTTATCTACGTTCCAAAAAGATGACGTTGGGGGGAAAAAAACATAGCCATGAAAACAAAATTGCCCACTCATCCAGCTGTGTGGTATTCTCTGCTAGTATACCTGCCGAGATTTGAGGAGGTAAGGCAATAAACACACATTGCAGGCGTGACCCCCTGATCAATTGAGTACAGATTACAAACATTCCCTAGTTCCAACCATAGGAAAAAATATATTAGAACAGACATTCTCTAGTACTTCTATTTCTATGGTGCCAACCCTGCTGTGCCTCTACAGAGAGCAAGTCCTCCAAGGGCCGGTACCAGTGGAGAAGAAGAAAAAGGGCAAGAGGAAAAGCGTGGCTGTCCTCCAGGAGGCTGGAGAGAGCGATGACGCGGCCTCCCTGTCCGCGCTGGTCGTGGGGGGAGAGGAGAGCATCGACTCCCTTGACAACACGGTGAGGAACTGACTGACAGCATGAGGGCTGGGGGAAGGGCAGGATAGGCTGAGTGACACTTGCTTCTCTAAAACCTCACCATTAAGATGTTTTTTATGTAGTAGTGTACATTAGTATAGCTGTGTGTGTGTATAATTAATGTGTAGCCTATACTATATTCTTAGATTCATGTCGATTTTCAGTTTACTTGAAAGCGGTGGTTTGTTTAACACCACAATCTACGTACTTATCATGCTGACATTCCCAAGGAACACGTTTTTATCAGTATAAAGAATGTATCTACACACAGTAGATATTGCTTGAATCGAATGCACTTAGTGTAAACCAAATGTGTTTACACTAAGTTAACCCAAACCGCTCCTTCAACCCCCTTCTCTCTTTTTCTCTGGTAGAAGCGGCGCTCGGGGCGACAGGTGAAGCGCAGAAAGTACAACGAGGACCTGGACTTCAAGGTGGTAGATGACGATGGGGAGACCATCGCCGTGCTGGGGACGGGCCGTATCCCTGCCCTCAACGCTGCCACTCTCGCCTGGCAGGCTGAGGTAGCAATCTTGTTCTTTCTCTTTGTCTTTGGCCGTGTCCGAATACTCGTACTAACGTCCTAGTAGGCTTTTTGGATATGCCAGAGTAGAAGGTTTTATGTGAAATTACGAAAAATGAGTTCCAGGATGTCATACTCATTTAGACGTTTCATCAAGTATGAATTCGCTGCACTATTGAGGAAGAGAATCGTCTTTTCAGGCACACGTGTGTTTGACAACAGCTGATTATCAGATAAGGGAACGGGCTGTACCAAAATGAATGAATGGCAGGGAACAACCCAATTGCGCGTTAGATGATGACTTCTCATTATGGATGAGTGAATGTTTGTTGCTTTCTTCAGTGGTTCTTAAACCAGTCCTCAGGGACGCCCAGCCATTCCATGTATTTGATCTATTCCAGAGCTAGCACACCTGATTGAACTTGCCAACTAATGATCAAGCCCTTGATGAGGTAGTTCAGGGGGTCCCCGAGGAGAAGTTTGAGAACCACTAGCTTACTGCATACGATTTTACTAAATAGTATTTAGTATGGTTTATACATTTCGTAAGTAGTTGGCTACAAAGATTTTGGACACCGCCATAGTTTCTCCTCTCCCCCTCTCTCTGCTGTGCCCAACCTCTGTCCCACTCAGTAAGGCCAACCACACTCTTACCCTGCGTGAGTAAACCCCTCTCTCCCCTCTCCCCCTGTCACAGGAGCCCCCTGAAGATGAGGCAAACATCATTGAGAAAATCCTGTCGGTTCGAACTGTGAAGAAAGAGGTACACCGCCCGACACACACACGTTTCCCGTATCATTTTGTTTCAGCAGTGGATGCCAAGATTTATTTTGTTGAACGACTGAGAAGTTCACTTTTTCAAAATTACATTCTACTCCGAAGAGCATGAACATGTGTTCTCTTCCTTTGAAACACGTGGAAATCGTGGACAGTTTAATTGTATCTCTTGAGCTCAATGACATCACTAGCCAATTATACTGTATATTAACCCAAAAAATAATGTATCTAGCGTAACTTTACTATATCTTAGCTAACAATTATTACATACATCTATTGATAAGGTTGGCTACACTTCCAGGATTACAAGCTAGCTAGATACCTTAGAGGCTTCTCAGATGATCTGATGAGAATCTGAGGAAGATATGTACCTTGTCAGAAAGCCATATCTCAGACTGGCCAATAAAAAGAAAAGAAAAGATTAAGATGGGCAGTCTGAGATATGGCTTTTTCTTTGCAACTCTGCCTAGAAGGTCAGCATCCCGGAGTCGCCTCTTCACTGTTGACGTTGACTGGTGTTTTGCGGGTACTATTTAATGAAGCTGCCAGTTGAGGACCTGTGACACGCCTGTTTCTCAAACTAGATGTCTACACTGTACTTCTGATCAATTTGATGTTATCTTAATGAACAAAAGCAAATTTTTTATTTCGAAAACAAGAACATTTATAAGTGGACCCCAAACTTTTGAACGGTAGTGTATGTATGTACAGTGGGGAGAACAAGTATTTGATACACTGCCGATTTTGCAGGTTTTCCTACTTACAAAACATGTAGAGGTCTGTAATTTTTATCATAGGTACACTTCAACTGTGAGAGACGGAATCTAAAACAAAAATCCAGAAAATCACATTGTATGATTTTTAAGTAATTAATTTGCATTTTATTGCATGACATAAGTATTTGATACATCAGAAAAGCAGAACATAATATTTGGTACAGAAACCTTTGTTTGCAATTACAGAGATCATACGTTTCCTGTAGGTCTTGACCAGGTTTGCACACACTGCAGCAGGGATTTTGGCCCACTCCTCCATACAGACCTTCTCCAGATCCTTCAGGTTTCGGGGCTGTCGCTGGGCAATACGGACTTTCAGCTTCCTCCAAAGATTTTCTATTGGGTTCAGGTCTGGAGACTGGCTAGGCCACTCCAGGACCTTGAGATGCTTCTTACGGAGCCACTCCTTAGATGCCCTGGCTGTGTGTTGCGGGTCGTTGTCATGCTGGAAGACCCAGCCACGACCCATCTTCAATGCTCTTACTGAGGGAAGGAGGTTGTTGGCCAAGATCTCGCGATACATGGCCCCATCCATCCTCCCCTCAATACGGTGCAGTCGTCCTGTCCCCTTTGCAGAAAAGCATCCCCAAAGAATGATGTTTCCACCTCCATACTTCACGGTTGGGATGGTGTTCTTGGGGTTGTACTCATCCTTCTTCTTCCTCCAAACACGGCGAGTGGAGTTTAGACCAAAAAGCTATATTTTTGTCTCATCAGACCACATGACCTTCTCCCATTCCTCCTCTGGATCATCCAGATGGTCATTGGCAAACTTCAGACGGGCCTGGACATGCGCTGGCTTGAGCAGGAGGACCTTGAGTGCGCTGCAGGATTTTAATCCATGACGGCGTAGTGTGTTACTAATGGTTTTCTTTGAGACTGGTCCCAGCTCTCTTCAGGTCATTAACCAGGTCCTGCCGTGTAGTTCTGGGCTGATCCCTCACCTTCCTCATGATCATTGATTCCCCACGAGGTGAGATCTTGCATGGAGCCCCAGACCGAGGATGATTGACCGTCATCTTGAACTTCTTCCATTTTCTAATAATTGCGCCAACAATTGTTGCCTTCTCACCAAGCTGCTTGCCTATTGTCCTGTAGCCCATCCCAGCCTTGTGCAGGTCTACAATTTTATCCCTGATGTCCTTACACAGCTCTCTGGTCTTGGCCATTGTGGAGAGGTTGGAGTCTGTTTGATTGAGTGTGTGGACAGGTGTCTTTTATACAGGTAACGAGTTCAAACAGGTGCAGTTAATACAGGTAATGAGTGGAGAACAGGAGGGCTTCTTAAAGAAAAACTAACAGGTCTGTGAGAGCCGGAATTCTTACTGGTTGGTAGGTGATCAAATACTTATGTCATGCAATAAAATCCAAATGAATTACTTAAAAATCATACAATGTGATTTTCTGGATTTTTAGATTCCGTCTCTCACAGTTGAAGTGTACCTATGATAAAAATTACAGACCTCTACATGCTTTGTAAGTAGGAAAACCTGCAAAATCGGCAGTGTATCAAATACTTGTTCTCCCCACTGTATATACATTTACATTTAAGTCATTTAAGACGCTCTACACACACACTCTTAACAACAAGGTCTCTGTGGATTAGCGATTTATTTGATACATTTTTTCTCCTTTTTTTCTCTTCTTTCCAGGCATCCCCTGAGGAGACACCGGAGGAGTCGGAGGAGTTCTATGTCAAGTACAGAAATTTGTAAGTGTGCTTAGCAAGGTGGAAGGTGACAGTGACTCTTTGATAACAGACGTTCTGTAGCATCAAATAGTCCGATTCCTTTGAAGAATTCTTATGATGTTATAGCTCTCGAGAGGTTTTCAAAGCTGCGCCCAATCAAAAGGAGGATTTTCTCATTTTGTTTATCTATGTTCTACAATGTATTTCCATGTTCTTAAAACCGTCATATGTTGTTACGATACTATGACCTTGTGGGATTGCTTCTTAAATGGTGGGATTAGGTTAATTTAGTGCATTGTGCACACACTACTTGAGATGCTTGGATAAACACTTCAGTCGAAGGTTAATGTATCCCCTTTTCCCCTTGAGTATATAACTTGAACCCCCCCTTCTACTCTTGCTCACAGCTCCTACCTGCATTGTAAATGGGCGACTTTAGAGGATTTGGAGAAGGATCCTCGCATACACCAAAAAATCAAGCGCTTCAGGACTAAGCAGGCCCAAATGAAGCACATATTTGTTGAGGTGAGGCTGCTCCCATCTTTCTAACATTTTTGGGGGATATTTCATGATTTTATGTTTCTATATAAAAATGTACTGTTGGCTACTCTGGGACAGTGTTTTTTATTTGTAGTGATGTACATTTGTACTTTGCATGAAACATTTATAGCTATGTAAAGTATCACATTAAACACATTTATATTGATTGATGTCTACTCCTCCATGTAGCCTGATGAAGACCTCTTTAACCCTGACTACATAGAGGTGGACCGAGTTCTGGAGGTGGCCATCACTACAGACACAGAGACAGGAGAGGTGAGACAGGGAAAGGCAGTTACTCACCACCAGTGACCTTTTTTATGCAAGTGTGTGTGTGCGCATTTGCTTCAGTCAGTGTATCTGACTCACTGGCTACATTCTGTATGTTTGCGTGTCTGACTGACTCATTGACTGACTGTCACTCTATCTGTGTGTGTGTGTGTGTGTGTGCGTGTGTATGTTTACAGGAGGTGACACACTACCTAGTGAAGTGGTGCTCCCTGTCCTATGAGGAGGCTACATGGGAGCTTCAGGAAGACGTGGACCCGGGGAAGATTCGGGAGTTCGAGGAGATCAAGAGAATCCCTGGATACAAATTTGTGGTGAGTGTAAATAGAAAGTCACTCCTCTAATCTATAGAATGTATACTTTTTAAAATATTCTGGATTATTGTTTGGTATTAGTGCACTGTTGGAGCTAGAAACACAAACATTTCGCTGCACCTGCGATAGCATCTGCAAATCTGTACACGACCAATACACTTTGATTTGACTTGTTTAAAAATGTAAATAACAATCAGGAATGTGTCTGAATTGGGTGTTCTGTTGTTGAAGAGTTGCTTGTGAGCTGTCTGTGTGATTGGTAGGGTGTTCTGTGTGTGTGTGTGTGTGGGGGGGGGGCATGTTTGTGCACAGTGCGTGTACTGGTCGAGTCGACCTCTGGTCGAGTCGACCTCTGTGTGTGTGTGTGTGTTGCTCTTATTTGAGATGGACAGTCATCCCTGTGTGTGTGTGTGTGCACGCGCACTCTGAGCAGGAGAGACCTCAGTCAGACAAGTGGCAGAAGCTGGACAAGTCCAAAGACTACCGAAATGGGAATCAGCTGAGAGAGTACCAGCTGGAAGGCATGAACTGGCTGCTCTTCAACTGGTACAACAGGTAGGACACCTATCCCCCCCCCCTCCTCCTCCCCCAAATCTTCCCTGTGGGAATATGTATAGGAGACTTACTGCCCTACTGCCTTAAAGGGATACTTTTGGATTTTGGCTTCCCCAGAGTCAGATGAACTCATGGAGACCATGTTTATGTCTCTGCATCCAGTATGAAGGAAGTTAGAGGTAGTTTTGTGAGCGCAATGACTAGAGCTGTGTTCGAATACTCATACTAACCGCACTAACCATACTATTGGTGATGTAAATTGAATGTGTAGAATGCATATTGGTCATAGTGTGGATATAGATAGTATGCCAAAAGTTCCCGGATGTCGTACTAAATTCGCCAAAATACGAAGTATACAAGCAGTGGACACTATTTCCGTGCTTTTAAGGCCCAGAAAATGGGCGTTGCTTCACAACGTTTTAAGATTTGAAGAAAATGGCGGAAAATATGCAGCCAAAGTCCGACGAGAGCGGATACAAATTAATTTCTTTAACTAATTATGAGAAATGTAAAGGCAATGTAATAAAGTAATGACTTTTTAAATAAGTTACGTTACGTTGGCTGACAATTTGTTAGCGACGCTATCCTTACGAACCGCATACTAAATACATCGAACTTGCCAGTATATTAACAAACTATCTAACTAACTACCCAATGTTTATTGACTTGATTATTCACGTCATTCTTAGCTAATTGGTATAGTCGAGATTGTTAATTCGCTCTGGCTATCTACTCCGATTTCAGAACACTCTCGTCTGAGTGTGCCAGAGTGCAGAATAACTGATGAATTTACGAACGCTCAACACCCGTTGAATATGGCCGGTGTCAGTAAACGTCGGCAAAAAAACGTAATTAAATTGTTGCCAGCAGCACAGTTAGTCACCAACGCTCTGGATAACATGAAAACAGCCTAACCAGCTCTGCTAGGGCGAGTAAAATGGTCAGAGTGAGGTGTTCTCTCACTTGTCTCTGGAAGTAGCTAGCAAGCTAGACAACATTAGGCAGTTAGCTTGGGTGCTTGACTGCCGTTGTGAGGTCAGTGTGTGCTCTAAACACTCCGAGAGCGAAACGCTCTGAATTTACGAACGGACAATCTGACAACGAAATCGTAAGATGTCTAGCTAGTAATTTGTTATGCTAACAAGCTAGCAAGAGGTTGCATAGCAGCAGCATCAACTTCCGGTAGACAGGCGAAGCGCTAGTACGCTCAACTGAAAGGATACTGTTCGTTTACAGTGAACTAATAGTATAAAGTATGTAGTATATGCTCATTAAGTATGTAGTATGGGTATTCGAACACAGCTTAGATGTCTATGGTATCTAATAGCATGCTAGCAGTTACCATAGACTTCCAGTCATTGCGCTAACGCTAGCTAACAACTTCCTTCAAACTGCACGCAGACACATAAAAATGGTATCCACAAGTTAATCTGACCCTGGGGAAGTAAATAATCCTGAAGTGTCACTTTTAAGTAGTAATTCACCACTAGACACTTCATGTAGATACATAATCTGATGGGTACACTACTGGCCCCAGTGTACCCAATTGTCATACTTGAGTAAAAGTAAAGATACCTTAATAGAAAATGACTCCAGTAAAAGTGAGTCACCCAGTAAAATACTACTTAAGTATATTTAAAACCACATTTTTACTCCATACATTTTCCCTGACACCCAAAAGTACTCGTTACATTTTGAATTCTTAGCAGGACAGGAAAATGGTCCAATTCGCACACTTATCAAGAGAACATCCCTGGTCATCCCTAGTGCCTCTGATATGGCAGACTCACTAAACACACATGCGTCGTTTGTAAATGATGTGAGTGTTGGAGTGTGCCCCTTGCTATCCGTAAATAAATAAAAAACAAGAAAATGGTGACGTCTGGTTTGCTTAATATAAGGAATTTGAAATGATTTTTACTTTTGATACTTAAGTATATTTGAGCAATTACATTTACTTTTGATACTTAAGTATATTTAAAACAAAATACTTTTTTCTTTTTTTTACGGATAGCCAGGGGCACACTCCAACAAAAAGGGACTTAAGTAGTATTTTTACTTAAGTACTTTACACCACTGACTGGCCCTGAATAAAATAACTTTTACTGCCCGGAACTGTATGTCTTAGGAGTTGTTTTGTTTTAACCATATTGCCTACACCCGTCTGATCCTTTTCAATCTATGAAAAGTGTCTAAGAACCTGGAGTGGATTTCACGACTCAAAGAAAGGCTACAGCTGCTTCTCTGGTAGTGTAACGGAATGTCATGTTGGATTTTTCTCATGATGAACACAAATCAGATCAAATCTTCAAATGCAGAGAAATTGGTGTGTTTGGGCAGTTGTGTTGGAGTATAATTTTTATGACAGATTTGAGTAGCTCGTTCAAAGTAATTGCCGGGTATCGCTCTTGTTTTGTTGTTTATCCACTCTGATGGAAAATACAGTGGTGTCGCATCCCTTGTTCACATCAAAATCACAACTGGTTTGTTGTGCCCAGAAATAAATAACACATAATGAAACCAGGCAAGATCAAAAGGCGAGATCAGGTGTTCAAATTAACCAAGTATTTATGGTACACTGATATCAAACAATATTTCCTTGACTGGGAAGTCTTCGCGTACAGCCAGTCTTTCCGCTAAGTTAGCGCTAACGCAAGTTAGCATTGGCTCACAAAACTACCTCTAACATCCTTCATACTGGACGCAGAGACATAAAAATGGTATCCACGAGTTCATCTGACTCTGGGGATGTAGATTATTGATCATTGTCAAAATCCCGAAGTATCCCTTTAATCTGTCAAGGCTGAGGGAGGGGAAGAAATATTTTGTTGTGGTGGACTAACTTTAAACTGCTAACTTGTGAAATATTTGCATTGAAAACATTGTTAGATACCGACATGTTGTCATTCAGTGCATCGTGTGCCGCTTGGATTGTAAACAGGTGGGTTCTTTGGAATGGGAGGGGCTGGGGACTGGCTTTGGCAGAGGCTTTATGAGGATTGTTACTTAAATGTTACTTCCGCTCAGAACATATTTGAAAACCTTAGCCCCCACAATCAAACTGAGTTAGCTGGACAGCACATGTGAGATTTGGTTCTAGGTTCCGAGACTACCTTTTACTCGCCCTCTATGGTAAAGGTCACCCCCCACACCTTTTTGTCTTTTTTGATTATTATTTTTAATTGTGTTTGATACCACTGTGTTTCCCGCATCTTCCTGTTTGACACCACGGTTTTCCCACCTCTTCCCATACAGGAAGAACTGCATCCTGGCTGACGAGATGGGCCTGGGGAAAACAATCCAGTCCATCACCTTCCTCTTCGAGATGTTCTCCCTGGGCCTGCGGGGGCCCTTCCTCATCATCGCCCCCCTCTCCACCATCACCAATTGGGAGAGGGAGTTCCGCAACTGGACGGAGATCAATGTCATCGTCTACCATGGCAGCCAGATCAGCCGCCAGATGATCCATCAGTACGAGATGTACCACAAGGACCAGCAGGTGAGCCAACATGGTGTGTGTGTAAGGGTATGTGTGAGTGCAGGGGTTAAAGCTTTCTGTCATATGGATTAAGCCTATTTATTTAAAGATGCTATGCTGCATCTGTTAGCCTACAGGTAATAATGATTTTAAAGGGACAATTATATTTCGGATGGTGTCAACAATTTTATTTTAATACATTTTGGAGTAGAATATCCTTTTCAAAAAAGTCTGACCAATTCCAGTCCTTGTCAATATTAAAAAATCAAATAAAAAATAAGATTCCATATGACGGAAATACGTTGCAGTGATGGAGAACTTTAACCCCTGGGTTGCCCATCTGGATTTACCTCATTGAACAACCCCAAAAGACTGAATGCATCAAGTGCTACAAATATATGTTTTAACTTGTCACTGATCTTAAAAGCGTGTCTTGCTTTTGTTTCCTTTTTTTAATCAGATTTTTAGGGGCGCCACTACTAATTAATATAGGGCAAACACTGATGTATGTTTCAATCTACACAGGATATGCAGATATGCTGTGTGTTTTTGTATGAGCCTAGATGTGTCAAACAGAAGCTGTGTGTATGTATGAATCTTCAGAAGACAAAAGGGTGAGCCATTGCTTGTCTGCTGGATATACTGTATGTCTTAAGGCCTAGATATACTATGTTTATACAGCCTTTCTATGTGCAGTATAGGGACATTAGAGAGGGCAGCGGGGCCTTGCTACAAGTATCTCTGGAAATGTGGTTCCATGGTACTGACAATATCTGTACGTCATGCATCAAGTGGGTTTGAGGAACTCATGTTGAGGAAGTAGAATCTCAAGGTAAAGAATACTGAACAAAAATATAAATGCAAAATCTAATGTGTTGGTCCCATGTTTCATGAGCTGAAATAAAAGATCCCAGAAATGTTCCATACGCACAAAAAGCGTTTCTGTCATTTTGGGCACAAATTAGTTTACATCCCTGTTAGTGAGCATTTCTCCTTTGCCAAGATAATCCAACAGGTGCACCTTGTGCTGGGGAGAATAAAAGGCCACTGTAAAATGTGCAGTTTTGTCACAACACAATGCTACAGATGTCTCAAGTTTTGAGGGAGTGTGCAATTGGCATGCTGACTGCAGGAATGTCCACCAGAGCTGTTGCCAGATAATTGAATGTTCATTTCTCTACCATAAGCTGCCTCCAATGTCATTTTAAAGAATTTGGCAAAATGTCCAACCGGCCTCAAAACCGCAGAACACGTGTAACCACGCCAGCCCAGGACCTCCACATCCGGCTTCTTCACCTGCGGGATTGTCTGAGAACAGCCATCCGGACAGCTAATGGAAATGTGGGTTTGCACAACCGAATAATTTCTGCACAAAAATCGTCTCAGGGAAGCTCATCTTCGTGCTCGTTGTCCTCACCAGGATCTTGACCTGATTGCAGTTCGCGTCGGAACCGACATCAGTGCGCAAATGCTCACCTTCGATGGCCACTAGCACGCTGGAGCATTGTGCTCTTCACGGATGAATCCCGGTTTCAACTATCATGGGCATATTGCAGACAGCGTATGGCGTTGTGTGGGTGAGTGTTTTTGCTGATGTCAACGTTGTGAACAGAGTGCCCCATGGTGGCGGTGGGGTTTTGGTATAGGCAGGCATAAGCTACAGACAACAAACACAATTGCATTTTATCGATGGCAATTTGAATGCACAGAGACACTATGACGAGATCCTGAGGCCCATTGTCGTGCCAATCATCCGCCACCATCACCTCATGGTTCAGAATGATAGTGCACGGCCCCATGTCGCAAGGATCTGTACACAATTCCTGGAAGCTGAAAATATCCCAGTTCTTCCATTACATTTACATTTTAGTCATTTAGCAGACGCTCATATCCAGAGCGACTTACAGAGTGCATACATTATTTGTATTTTTTTCATACTGGCCCCCCGTGGGAAATGAACCCACAACCCTGGCGTTGCAAACGCCATGCTCTACCAACTGAGCTACATCCCTGACGGCCATTCCCTCCCCTACCCTGGACGACGCAGGGCCAATTATGCGCCGCCCCATGGGTCTTCCGGTCGCGGCCGGCTACGACAGAGCCTGGATGGCCTGCATACTCGCCAGACATGTCACCCATTGAGCATGTTTGGGATGCTCTGGATCGGCGTGTACTACAGCGTGTTCCAGTTCCCGCCAATATTCAGCAACTTCGCACAGCTATTGAAGAAGAGTGGGACAACATTCCACAGGCCACAATCAACAGCCTGATCTACTCTATGCAAAGGAGATGTCACGCTGCATGAGTCAAATGGTGGTCACACCAAATACTGACTGGTTTTCTGATCCACGCCCCTCCTTTTTTTTTTTTAAGTTATCTGTGACCAACAGATGCATATCTGTATTCCCAGTCATGTGAAATCCATAGATTAGGGCCTTCTGAATGTATTTCAGTTGACTAATTTCCTTATATGAGCTGTAACTCAGTAAAATCTTGGAAATTGTTGCATGTTGCATTTATATTTTTGTTCAGTGTTTTTGACGTATGTCCTTAGAATGAATGAGAGCTTTAATGGAGGCGCAATGCCCCTGACCCACTTCCAGTTTAGGGCTGAATACATTTTACCTGAATGTTTTCCTGGGGTGAAGGAGACACGCAGAGTGCCATTTGGCAGCAAGCATATTTGCAAGTTGGTTTCTTGTCTTCTAATGTTACAAGATATTCAAATGAGTTATAATATAATAATAATATAATATGCCATTTAGCAGACGCTTTTATCCAAAGCGACTTACAGTCATGCGTGCATACATTTTTTTTTTTGTGTATGGGTGGTCCCGGGGATCGAACCCACTACCTTGGCGTTACAAGCGCCGTGCTCTACCAGCTGAGCTACAGAGGAGTTCTAATATCAACGCTGCAAGATGTGAGGATTTCACACGAACGACTTCACCGTTTCGATATTTGATCGGGAGGACAGCAATTGTTGACACGGCATTGTTTTGAATTTAACATGGTAGGATTAAATTGATTTAGGACCAGAACTCCCTGAGGACAACTTCCCCGTTTTTCATCCAATTGTTAAAGCAGTGTTTAAAGAATTGCTCTAAAAAGTGTGTTAAAGAAGTGTTCAAAGTATCAATTATTTCCTTTTCTTCCACCTTTTATTATCTTTAAAAAATATATTTGTAAACAGGGAAACATAGTGTCGGGCGGGTACAAGTTCCACGGGGTGATCACCACCTTTGAGATGATCATGGCCGACTGTCCAGAGCTGAAGAAGATCCACTGGCGCTGCGTGGTCATCGACGAAGCCCACCGCCTCAAGAACCGCAACTGTAAACTCCTGGAGGGCCTCAAGCTCATGAACCTGGTGAGGGGGAAGCTAGCTAACTTTCTTGGGCGTCTGCATTGTCATTGTAGTCAATTCAGTGCAGCACCAGCCAAGGCTGATAGTAGCATGGATGCCCTCCCTTGGTCAAGAGGGAAGTACTGCACAAAAAGAAACATTGTAATGAGCCAGACTAGCGAGTGGTAATCTCTGTTGAGTTACATGGATGATACTTGTCTTTGAGTGGCATGAAAAGTGCTATAAATGGTTTTTATGTATTAATACTCAAATCCGTATACCATTTTGTTGTGTACTACATGCATTGTACATTTGTTGGGCTCTTCCACCTCTTCCACCCCCTGTAGGAACACAAGGTCCTCCTGACGGGCACCCCCCTGCAGAACTCGGTGGAGGAGCTCTTCAGTCTTCTCAACTTCCTGGAGCCCCTACAGTTCCCCTCAGAGAGCCTCTTCCTAGAGGAGTTTGGAGATCTGAAGACTGAGGAACAGGTGATATTTTTTTTTTTTTTCTGAGGCAAAGTGGGAAACCTTCCTTTTGGAATTTATGGGAATGTTGATTCTTTCTCAGAGATAACCATCAGCAATTCCCTTTTAAGCATTGTATCATACACTTAATGGCAGCTAACATGCTACTGAACAAAACGGAAAGCATGCGCTTTACATCATCAAGCAGTTGTTGAATCTGTGTCGGTATCAAGTTGTTGCATCTGCAGTGCAGGTGTGGGCAATTTAAACATATTGTTATGAATAGCGCCACAGTAAACATAAGTGTCCAGGCCAGACTAAACAAACAAATGTTTTGTCTAAGTCCAAACTGTATGCTGTTAAGTATGTACCTACACTAGACATTCTAAGTCTTATTACTGCAGACCGTCAGATCCTGACCACTTCTGTCCTCCTTTCCCCCAGGGTTGGGGTAAATTCCATTTCATTCAGTGAGTTCAGTACATCCTGAATTCACTGAATTGGAAATTAAATTGACCCCAAACCTGCTCTCCTCTACCCCAGGTGAAGAAGCTGCAGGCCATCCTGAAGCCCATGATGCTGCGGCGGCTGAAGGACGACGTGGAGAAGAACCTGGCGCCCAAGGAGGAGACCATCATCGAGGTGGAGCTCACCAACATGCAGAAGAAGTACTACCGCGCCATCCTGGAGAAGAACTTCACCTTCCTGGCCAAGGGGGCCAACCAGCATAACATGCCCAACCTCATCAACACCATGATGGAGCTGCGCAAGTGCTGCAACCACCCTTACCTGATCAAAGGTGACGTGTGGACACACGCACACAAAAACTGTTCATAGTTCATAATACAATTTTAATTGTAAAATTAGTCAACAGATTAACTAATCCGTTAACGCCTGTATTATTTCTAGCTTCCTGTCTTTTTATATTTGGACACAGTTTAATTCAACCCTGACTTTTAAGCAGCATTATGGAAATGGCTTCATACCAATTTCTTCTGACTTTCACAAGACTCTCTACGATGCATGCTAAGTAGCACGTTTCTCTCCCCCCACCTATCTTCTATGGAAACATCTAGGTGCGGAGGAGAAGATCCTGGATAGCTTCAGGAAAACACACAGCCCTGATGCCTGGGACTTCAACCTCCAGGCCATGATCCAGGCGGCGGGGAAGCTGGTGCTCATTGACAAGCTGCTGCCTAAGCTGATCGCTGGCGGCCACAAGGTGCTGGTCTTCTCCCAGATGGTGCGCTGCCTGGATATCCTGGAGGACTACCTCATCCAGAGGAGGTGAGACTAGGGCTGAGGATAGAGCCGGGGTTGGGGCAGTGAGGCTGGGGATAGGGCTGGGGCTGCTGGACTAGGCTCAAGCTCTGCTCTGTGTGCCCACATCACAATCTCCCTCCCATCTGCTCTAATCTAAAAAGAGACCAACCAAATATATATGATTTGTCTGGACAGTTCCATGAGAAACAGGGAAGGCATGTATGCATAACATATTAATGGCTATGACTCTGTCATAATGATAAAAGGATCTGCGTTTGATACCATTTTTTATAGGATAACAATGATCCATAGGGGATTTAATGTTTATGTTGGTTTATTAACTGGAATATACAGTGGCTTGCGAAAGTATTCACCCCCCTTGGCATTTGTTTTTTTTTTTGGGGGGGGGGGGGGGGGGGGGGGGGGGGGTTGTATCATTTGATTTACACAACATGCCTACCACTTTGAAGATGCAAAAATATTTTTTATTGTGAAACAAACAAGAAATAAGACAAAAAACCAGAACTTGAGCATGCATAACTATTCACCCCCCCCCCCCCCCCCCCCCCCCCCCCCCCAAAGTCAATACTTTGTAGAGCCACCTTTTGCAGCAATTACAGCTGGAAGTCTCTTGGGGTATGTCTCTATAAGCCTGGCACATCTAGCCACTGGGATGTTTTCCCATTCTTCAAGGCAAAACTGCTCCAGCTCCTTCAAGTTGGATGGGTTCCGCTGGTGTACAGCAATCTTTAAGTCATACCACAGATTCTCAATTGGATTGAGGTCTGGGCTTTGACTAGGCCATTCCAAAACATTTTAAATGTTTCCCCTTAAACCACTCGAGTGTTGCTTTAGCAGTATGCTTACGGTCATTGTCCTGCTGGAAGGTGAACCTCTGTCCCAGTCTCAAATCTCTGGAAGACTGAAACAGGTTTCCCTCAAGAATTTCCCTGTATTTAGCGCCATCCATCATTCCTTAAATTCTGACCAGTTTCCCAGTGCCTGCCAATGAAAAACATCCCCACAGCATGATGCTGCCACCACCATGCTTCACTGTGGGGATGGTGTTCTCGGGTGATGAGAGGTGTTGGGTTTGCGCCAGACATAGCGTTTATTTTGATGACCAAAAAGCTTAATTTTAGTCTCATCTGACCAGAGTACCTTCTTTCATGTGTTTGGGGAGTCTCCTACATGCCTTTTGGCGAACACCAAATGTGTTTGCTTATTTTTTTCTTTAAGCAATGGCTTTTTTCTGGCCACTCTTCTATAAAGCCCAGCTCTGTGGAGTGTACGGCTTAAAGTGGTCCTATGGACAGATACTCCAATCTCCGCTGTGGAGCTTTGCAGCTCCTTCAGGGGTCTCTTTGTTGCCTCTGATTAATGCCCTCCTTGCCTGGTCCGTGTGTTTTGGTGGGCGGCCCTCTCTTGGCAGGTTTGTTGTGGTGCCATATTCTTTCCATTTTTTATAATGGATTCAATGGTGCTCCATGGGATGTTCAAAGTTTCAGGTATTTTTTTATAACCCAACCCTGATATGTACTTCTCCACAACTTTGTCCCTGACCTGTTTGGAGAGCTCCTTGGTCTTCATGGTGCCGCTTGCTTGGTGGTGCCCCTTGCTTAGTGGTGTCACAGACTCTGGGGCCTTTCAGAACAGGTGTGTATATATATACTGACATCATGTGACAGATCATGTGACACTTAGAGTGCACACAGGTGGACTTTATTTAACTCATTATGTGACTTCTGAAGGTAATTGGTTGCACCAGATCTTATTTAGGGGGTTCATAGCAAAGGGGGTGAATACATATGCACGCACCACTTTTCCGTTATTTATTTTTTATAATCTTTTGAAAGACGTTTTATTTTTATTTTTTCACTTCACCAAATTGGACTATGTTGTGTATGTCCATTACATGAAATCCAAATAAAAATCCATTTAAATTACAGGTTGTAATGCAACAAAATAGGAAAAATGCCAAGGAGGATGAATACTTTTGCAAGGCACTGTAAGTGAAATAATCTGTCTGTAAACAATTGTTGGAAAAATTAATTTCTTAACAAGAAATTTGTGGTGGTTGAAAAACAAGTTTGAATGACTCCAAAATAAGTGTATGTAAACTTCCGACTTCAACTGTATGCTGAGCACTTATTGGCTGCTTTTCCTTCACTCTGCGGTCCGACTCATCCCAAACCATCTCAATTGGGTTGAGTTCGGGTGATTTTGTGGAGGCCAGGTCATCTGATGCAGCACTCCATCATTCTCCTTCTTGGTCAAATAGCCCTTACACAGCCTGAAGGTGTGTTTTGGGTCATTGCCCTGTTGAAAAGCAAATGATAGTCCCACTAAGAGCAAACCAGATGGGATGGCATGTCGCTGCAGAATAATGTGGTAGCCATGCTAGTTAAGTGTGCCTTGAATTCTAAATAAATCACTGACAGTGTAACCAGAAGAGCACGGTGAGAACCACACATGCAGAAATCATCCGTTCACCTACTCTGCATCTCACAAAACATGGCGGTTGGAACCAAAAATCTCAAATTTGGACTCATCAGACCAAAGGACAGATTTCCACCGGTCTAATGTCCATTGGTCGTGTTTCTTGGCCCAAGCAAGTCTCTTCTTCTTATTGGTGTCCTTTAGTAGTGGTTTCTTTGCAGCAATTTGACCATGAAGGCCTGATTCACGCAGTCTCCTCTGAACAGTTGATGTTGAGATGTGTCTGTTACTTGAACTCTGTGAAGCATTTATTTGGGCTGCAATTTCTAATGAACTTATCCCTCTGCAGCAGAGGTAACTCTGGGTCTTCCTTTCCTGTGGCGGTCCTCATGAAAGCCAGTTTCATCATAGTACTTAATGGTTTTTGCGACTGCACTTGAAGAAACTTTCAAAGTTCTTTGACATTTTCCGTATTGACTGACATTCATGTCTTAAAGTAATGATGGACTGTCATTTCTCTTTGCTTATTTGAGCTGTTCTTGCCATAATATGGACTTGGTCTTTTACCAAATAGGGCTATCTTCTGTATAGCACCCCAACAACACAACTGATTGGCTCAAACACATTAAGAAGGAAAGAAATTCCACAAATTAACTTTTATGAAGGCACACCTGTTAATTGAAATGCATTCCAGGTGACTACCTCATGAAGCTGGTTGAGAGAATGCCAAGAGTGTGCAAAGCTGTCATCAAGGCAAAGGGTGGCTATTTTGAAGAATCTCAAAAAATTAAATATATTTTGATTTGTTTAACACGTTTTTGGTTACTACATGATTCCATATGTTATTTCATAGTTTTGATGTCTCCACTATTATTCTATAATGTAGAGTAGGTGTGTCCAAACTTTTGACTTGTGCTCTGTATATACAGTTGAAGTCGGAAGTTTACATACACCTTAGCCAAATACATTTAAACTCAGTTTTTCACAATTCCTGACATTTAATCCTAGTAAAAATTCCCTGTCTTAGGTCAGTTAGGATCATAATAATAGTAGAGAGTGATTTATTTCAGATTTTATTTCTTTCATCACATTCCCAGTGGGTCAGAAGTTTACATACACTCAATTAGTATTTGGTAGCATTGTCTTTAAATTGTTTAACTTGGGTCAAACTTTTCAGGTAGCCTTCCACAAGCTTCCCACAATAAGTTGGGTGAATTTTGGCCCATTCCTCCTGACAGAGCTGGTGTAACTGAGTCAGGTTTGTAGGCTTCCTTGCTCGCACACGCCTTTTCAGTTCTGGACACAGATTTTCTATAGGATTGAGGTCAGGCCTTTGTGATGGTCACTCCATTACCTTGACTTTGTTGTCCTTAAGCCATTTTGCCACAAATTTGGAAGTGCTTGGGGTCATTGTCCATTTGGAAGACCCATTTGCAACCAAGCTTTAACTTGCTGACTGATGTCTTGAGATGTTGCTTCAATATATCCACATAATTTTCCTTCCTCATGATGCCATCTATTTTGTGAAGTGCACCAGTCCCTCCTGCAGCAAAGCACCCCCACAGCATGATACTGCCACTCCTGTGCTTCACGGTTGGGATGGTGTTCTTCGGCTTGCAAGCCCCCCTTTTTCCTCCAAACATAACGATGGTCATTATGGCCACACAGTTCTATTTTTGTTTAATCAGACCAGAGGACATTTCTTCAAAAAGTACGATCTTTGTCCCCATGTGCAGTTGCAAACCGTAGTCTGGCTTTCTTATGGCGGTTTTGGAGCAGTGGCTTCTTCCTTGCTGAGCGGCCTTGCAGGTTATGTCGATATAGGACTTGTTTTACTGTGGATATAGATACTTTTGTACCTGTTTCCTCCAGCATCTTCACATGGTCCTTTGCTGTTGTTCTGGGATTGATTTGCACTTTTCGCACCAAAGTATGTTCATCTCTAGGAGACAGAACGCATCTCCTTCCTGAGCGGTATGACGGCTGCGTGGTCCCATGGTGTTTATACTTGCGTACTATTGTTTGTACAGATGAACGTGGTACCTTCAGGCGTTTTGGAAATTGCTCCCAAGGATTAACCAAACTTGTGGAGGTCTACAATTTTTTTTCTGAGGTCTTGGATGTCTTTTGATTTTCCCATGATGTCAAACAGAGGCACTGAGTTTGAAGGTAGGCCTTGAAATACATCCACAGGTACACCTCCAATTGACGCAAATGATGTCAATTAGCCTATCAGAAGCTTCTAAAGCCATGACATCATTTTCTGGAATTTTCCAAGCTATTAAAAGGCACAGTCAACTTAGTGTATGTAAACATCTGACCCACTGGAATTGTGATACAGTGAATTATAAGTGAAATAATCTGTCTGTAAACAGTTGTTGGAAAAATTAGTTGTGTCATGCACAAATTAATGTCCTAACCGACTTGTCCAAAACTATAGTTTGTTAACTAGAAATTTGTGGAGTGGTTGAAAAAAAGGTTTTAATGACTTCAACCTAAGTGTATGTAAAGTTCCGACTTCAACTGTATACACGTTCAAATGCCTCTCCAGTGAAGTAGTGATGTGCGACATATGCCTAGCTTCTTGAAACGGGTCACAAATATAAATTTTCTCTAAACTCCATCATTTTGGATTTGAGAAAATATTTCATAAGGTGACAGTACAGAATACCACCTTTTAATTTAAGGGTATTCATATACATATCTGATTTATTGATTTTACAGTTTAGAAATGAAAGCACTTTAAAGATCTAGTCCCCCCATTTTAAGACGTCATAAGTATTCGGACAAATTTCATTTAGTATACCAAAAGTGTAGTATTTGGTCACTTATTCCTAGCACGCAAATGACTACATCAAGCTTGTGACTCTACAAACTCATTGGATGCATTTGCAGTTTGTTTTAGTTGTGTTTTGGGTTATGATTTGCCCAAAAGGAATTGAATGGTGAAGGATGACTGAAGTGATTTTCAAAGTTAGAAGAGAAGATGTTTCTGAACACTTCCAATTAATCCTGATAATGCCATGATTAGGAAAAAATAATTAATGAATAATGATGAGTGATAAAGTTAGAGACTACAACAAAGCATGCTAACCTCTTGCCATTACAAATGTGGGAGATTTGCATATTTGGGGGTTATGATCTTTGTCCCTCTATCTTTCTCACTCATTCACGATTTATAATCATGATAGCCACATTCATGTAGAAGTTTTCACAAACATATTATTTTTTATATTTTTTGTGCTTTTACCCTTTTTCTCCCCAATTTTGTGATATCCAATTGGTAGTTAGTCTTGTCCCATCTCTGCAACTCCCCTATGGACTTGGGAGAGGCGACGGTCGAGAGCCATGCGTCCTCCGAAACATGAACCTGCCAAGCCGCACTGCTTCTTGACACACTGCTCGCTTAACCCGGAAGCCAGCCACACCAATGTGTCGGAGGGGACACCGTCCAGCTGGCGACCGAAGTCAGCTTGCAGGCGCCCGGCCCGCCAAAAGGAGTCGCTAGAGCGCGATGGGACAAGGAAATCCCGGCCGGCCAAACCCTCTCCTAATCCAGATGACGCTGGGCCAATTGTGCGCCGCCTCATGGGTCTCCCGGTATTGGCCGGCTGTAACACAGCCTGGGTTCGAACCCGGGTCTGTAGTGACGCCTCAAGCACCGCAATGCAGTGCCTTAAACCACTGCGCCACTCGGGAGGCCTTCACAAACCTATTCTAATATTCTATTCAAACCTATTCTATTCTAATACTACAGTGTCTTCAGAAAGTATTCACACCCCTTGACTCTTTCCAAATCTTGTTGTGTTTACAGCCTGAATTTAAAATGGATTAAATTTAGATTTTTTTTGTCACTGGCATAAACAAAATACTCCATAATGTCAAACTGGAATTATGTTTTTAGAATTTTTTACAAATTAATTAAAAATGAAAAGCTGAAATGTCTTGAGTCAATAAGTACTGTATGGCAAGCCTAAATAAGTTCAGGAGTAAAAATATGCTTAACAAGTCACATAATAAGTTGCATGGACTGACACTGTGTGGAATTTTTGAATGAGTACCTCATCTCTGTATCCCACACATACAATTATCTCTAAGGTCCCTCAGTCGAGCAGTGAATTCAACCACAAAGACCAGGGAGGTTGTCCAATGCCTCACAACAAAGGGCACCTGTTGGTAGATGGGTAGAAATTAAACAGCATGGTCAAGTTATTTATTACACTTTGGATGGTGTGTCAATAGTCACTACAAAAATCCAGTCACTACAAAGATACAGGCGTCCTTCCTAACTCAGTTGCCGGAGAGGAAGGAAACTACTCAGGGATTTCACCATGAGGCTAATGGTGACTTTAAAACAGTTAGTTTAATGGTTGTGATGGGAGAAAACTGAGGATGGATCAACAACATTGTAGTTACTCCACAATACTAACCTAATTGATAGAGTGAAAAGAAGGAAACCTATACAGAATACAAATATTCCAAAACATGCATCCTGTTTGCAGCAAGGCACTAAAGTAATACTGCAAAAAATGTGTCAAAGTAATTCACTTTTTGTCCTGAATACAAAGCATTATGTTTTGGGCAAATCCAATACAACATATTACTGAGTACCATTCTCCATATTTTCAAGCATAGTAGGGGCTGCATCATGTTATGGGCATGCTTATAATCGGTAAGGACTGGGGAGTTTTTCAGGATAAAAAATAAACTGATTGGAGTTAAGCACAGGCAAAATCCTAGAGGAAAACCTGGTTCAGTCTGCTTTCATCCAAACACTGTGAGATGAATTCACCTTTCAGCAGGACAATAACCTAAAACACAAGTCTAAATCTACAGTGGAGTTGCTTACCAAGAAGACCGTGAATGTTCCTGAGTGGCCGATTTACAGTTTTGACTTAAATCTACTTGAAAATCTATGTCAAGACTGGAAAATGGTTGTCTCGCAATGGTCCACAACCAATTTGACAAAGCTTGAAGAATTTTAAAAAGAAGAATGTGCAATTGTTGCATAATCCAGGTGTGGAAAGCTCTTAGAGACTTACCCAGAACTCACAGCTGTAATCGCTGCCAAAGATGCTTCTACAAAGTATTGACTTGGGTCTGAATACTTATGTAACTTAGCAGACATTTTTTTTAAACATGTTTTCACTTCATCATTATGGGGTATTGTGTATTTTTTTATCAATTTTGAATTCAGGCTGGAACACAAAATGTGGAATAAGTCAAGGCACCAAAATGACACACTACATTATTCACCATTCACTTCATATTGGACAAAACATAATCGAAACACAACCAAAGCAAGCTGTAAATGCATCCAACAAGTTTGTAGAGCCACAAGCTTGATGTAGTCATTGTGTGCAAGGAATGTGGGACCAAATACTAAACTTTTGACTACTTTAGTACACTATAAGAGAAATTAGTCCAAATACTTATGTCATCTACAAAAAAATGTTTGGGGGGGCTATATATATATATATAAATATATATATATATATATATAAGTGCTTACATTTCTAAACAGTAAATCAGATATGTATGAAAATACCCTAAAATGAAAATTGACAATCTGTACAGTCACCTCATTTGAAACGTTTTATATCAAATCCAAAATGCTGGAGTATAGGGCCAAATGTAACATTTTAGCATCACTGTCCAAATACATACACTACATGACCAAAGGTATGTGGACACCTGCTCATCGTACATCTCATTCCAAAATCATGGGCATTAATATGGAGTTGGTCCCCCTTTTTGCTGCAATAACAGCCTCCACTCTTCTGGGAAGCCTTTCCACTAGATGTTGGAACATTGCTGTGGGGACTTCACAATAACAGCATTTACAGTTGACCGGAGCAGCTCTAGCAGGGCAGAAATTTGACAAACTGACTTATCGGAAAGGTGGCATCCTATGACTGTGCCATGTTGAAAGTCACTGAGCTCTTCAGTAAAGCCATTATAATGCCAATGTTTGTCTATGGATATTGCGTGACTGTGTGCTCGATTTGATACACCTGTCAGTAACGGGTGTGGCTGAAATAGCCGAATCCACTAATTTTAAGGGGTGTCCACATACACTCCCCTACGTACACTCTATATACAAAAGTATGTATTGTAGCGAATTCGGGGGTCCCAAACCTGGGTCCAGCGACTGTCAGCCGAACAGCCATTACGGCAAAAGATCCAAACCTCTTGAGGAGGTCGGTAGGTGTGTTGTTGAGGTCGTTTCAGTATTTTCATACTTTGTATATTTGGTTGCAGGTACACCTATGAGCGCATCGACGGCAGAGTGCGGGGGAACCTGCGCCAGGCGGCAATTGACAGGTTCTGTAAGGTGGACTCAGACCGCTTTGTGTTCCTGCTGTGTACCCGTGCTGGGGGCCTGGGCATCAACCTGACCGCTGCAGACACCTGCATCATCTTCGACTCGGACTGGAACCCCCAGAACGACCTACAGGTTAGTCAACACAAAGTTCAGTACCACTTAGGGCCCGTTTTCCGGGCCTCGATTAAACGTAGTCCTGGACTTAAAAGTATTATACTAATTTCCTGATGTGGTTTCATGGGGCAGTAGGTAGCCCAGCTACTAAAGAGTTGGACCTGTACCCAAAAGGTTGCCTGTTCGAAAAAAGGGGGAAATTGATCTGGCAACTGGAGGGCTGCTGGGTTCAGATCCTAACAACAATCCCCTACTGCTGGGCCCTTGAGCAATGCACTTAACCCACAACATGGCTGTAACTATGGACAGTAAAGTTGTATTGTCATTGTATTATTGTCCTGTGTGGTTCAGTTGATAGAGCGTGGTACTTGCAATGTCGGGATTGTTGGTTCCATTCCTGCTGGGTCCACCCTTACGAAAATGTGCAGGCTATATATATTTCCAGCAGATTTCATGTGTGCATGGAGTATGACATGGTATATAGAAAAACACTACTCTCACACACTGTTAATGGCACTGTTAATATAACAACAGTTTTAAGCCCTATTTGTAAAAAACTGCTCTGTGTTTGTCCATGCCAGGCCCAAGCTCGCTGCCACCGCATCGGCCAGAGTAAAGCAGTGAAGGTGTATAGACTGATCACCAGGAACTCATATGAGAGGGAGATGTTTGACAAAGCCAGTCTGAAGCTGGGTCTAGACAAGGCCGTGCTGCAGGACATCAATCGAAAGGGCAGCCTCAATGGGGTGAGTGACTGTGCTATAACAGCCTGGTCCCAGATCTGTTTGTGCTGTCTTGCCAACTCCTATTGTCATTCATCGTCATGCCAGCACAAACAGATCTAGGACCAAGTTATACTATGAAGGATGAGTTGTGTGATGTTGGGGTTTTCTTTGTATAATGATTGCGTTGTCTACCACCTTCATATAGTAGTCATCTTTGACATTTGTATGGCTATCCACACTCAGCACAGCAGTCCCTCAACACTTCTGTTGCCTGTGTTGCAGTACAACACAAACAGTTGTCAGCAAACATGCTAAACATGTTCCTTTGGACTATGCTGGTTTTGTACCCCTCCACCCGTTCATCAAACTTTCACTACCCCTGCCCGCACAAGACTGCTTTGTGATTTTTCCTCATCCCTGCCGAAACATTCCAATAAACAATGCTTTTTTAGATCTCTCAGCTGTTTCTGATTCCAAAGGATCCCTTATCATATTCAGGAAATACATTGAAATGGAATTGACCTCAACCCTGATCTATAATTGGGTCCAGTTGATCTGAGATCTGTTGCTATGGCTGCTTAACTAATGGGGGGCATGGTGTCCCAAAGATACAGCAGATGACCAAGATTGAAGTGGAGGACCTGCTGAGGAAGGGCGCATATGGAGCGCTGATGGACGAGGAGGACGAGGGCTCCAAGTTCTGCGAGGAGGACATCGACCAGATCCTGCAGCGCCGCACCCAAACCATCACCATCGAGACAGAGGGCAAGGGCTCCACCTTCGCCAAGGTAAACCCTGACCGTTATACCCCTAACCTCTAACCCCTGACTCTAATATCCAGACCATCACCATCCAGACAGAGGGCAAGGGCTCCACCTTCGCCAAGGTAAACCCATATTGGGTAAACTGTTGAGAAAATACAACACTTTTTGTACATAGTCCGTCGCCCCCATTTTAGGGAACCAAAAGTTTTTGGACAAATTCACTTGTGTATTAAAGTATTAAAAAATGTAGCATTTGGTCCCATATTCCTAGCACGCAATGACTACAATGCTTGTGACGCTACAAACTTTTTGGATACATTTGCAGTTTGTTTTGGTTGCGTTTCAGATTATTTTGTGGCCAATAGAAATTAAAGGTAAATAACGTATTGTCATTTTGGAGTCACTTTTATTGTAAATAAGAATATAATATGTTGCCTCCCGAGTGGCGCAGCGGTCTAAGGCACTGCATCGCAGTGCTTGAGGCGTCACTAAAGACCCAGGTTCGATCCCAGGCTGTGTCGCAGCCGGCCGCGACCAGGAGACCCATGAGGCAGCGCACAATTGGCCGGGTTAGGGGAGGGTTTGGCATGCACGCTGACTTCGGTCGCCAGCTGTACAGTGTTTCCTCCGACACGTTGGTGCAGCTGGCTTCTGGATTAAGCGAGTAGTATGTCAAGAAGCAGTGTGGCTTGGCAGGGTCGTGTTTCGGAGGACGCATGGCTCTCGACCTTCGCCTCTCCCGAGTCCATACGCGAGTTGCAGCGATGGGACAAGACTGTAACTACCAATTGGATATCAAGAAATTGGGGAGAAAAAAGGGTCAAATGTTTAAAAAGAAAATAATAATAATAATAAAAAAAATATTCAAGAATACAATATGTTTCTAAACACTTCTACATTAATATGGTTGCTACCATGATTACGTATAATCATGATTACGTATAATCAGGAAGACCCCAAAAATGCTTACCTCCCCTGTTATTTATTGGTAATGGTGAGAGTTTTCAAGTTTTTAATGGCACATGCACAAGTACAGTGAAATGCCTTTCTTGCAAACTCAAAACCCAACAATGCAATAATCATAAACAATGTAATACTAGAAAAAAACACACGAGAAATAAGAATAAATATGAAGAACACAAAAAGTAAGTAAGCATACTATATACAGGGTCAGTTCCAATACCATATTTACAATGTGTAGGGATACGGGCGTGATGGAAGTAGATACAGTATGTATAGGGGTTAGGTGACTAGGCAACGGGATATAAGATAAACAGAGTAGCAGCAGCTTGTATGTAAGTGGGTGTGTGTAGAGTCAGTATATTAGCATGTCTTGGGTGTTATGATCATTATTCACCATTCATTCATGATTATCCGTATAAAGAATATTGGACCAAATACTACACACTTGACTACTTTAATACACATATAAGTGAATTTGTCCAAATCCTTTTGGTTCCTTAAAAAGGGGCAACTATGTACAAAAAGTGCTGTAGTTTCAAAACGGTTCACCCGATATGGACACTCTGACTTAAACCTCATAGTCATTGTACCCCCCCAAAGTGCTGGGGTACAGAGCAAAAAAATAAAAAATAAAAAGGTTTCACTGTCCAAAAACCTCACTGTATTACTTTGGTGGTTTGAGATTAGAGTATTACTTTATTGTGCTCAACTACAATGAGAAATTTAAACTTTGAGTGTCAAGGGCCCTACCTTTGCCAAACCCTACCCCTAAATGATATCTTAAACCGTAATCCTTAGGCTGTCACCATCCAGGTAGTATATAACTATTGGAAGAATTACATGTTCGCCAGTATCCACAAGTTTCAGTTTCCCGTCTTTTACCAATGTCAGATTTCACGCCTTATCAGCTTTCTCAGCACATCCCAGTGTATGTTACTCGCATGGATCCAGTCCAGTTGATGCCTGTGTGTGTGTGTGTGTGCATAATTATTTATTTTTCCTTGTCATTTCCAGGCCAGCTTTGTGTCTTCTGGAAACAGAACTGATATTTCCCTGGACGATCCCAACTTCTGGCAGAAATGGGCCAAAATAGCAGAGCTGGAGATTGACTCCAAAGCAGAGAAGGTAAGAGGGGAGGGAAGGGAAGGAAGGGCGCTGTGGGGCGACCGGTGATCCCCGACTAGGGTGTCGCTGCTGCCTGGTGTTGGAGGGGCTCCAGAAAAGGCTGGTCGCTGCAGATCAAAAGAGCCACTCAGAATGCGCGCTGGAAAAGAAGGCGGAATAGGCCTCGCGAAACGGTTTAAAAATCTGGCACTCATCAACCTGCTGAACAGATGGGTTGCATTAATGAGAGAAAAAAAAATAGAAATACAGCATGCGAAGCAGAGGGAGGAGGAGAGGGTGCAGTTGAATTAATTATGTGTGTATTAGAGCTTGCTGTGTGTGTATAGTGTATTAGTGTGCAGCGTATGCATTTTGTGCTGAAGAGTTGTGCGTACAGTGGGGAGAACAAGTATTTGATACACTGCCGATTTTGTAGGTTTTCCTACTTACAAAGCATGTAGAGGTCTGTAATTTTTATCATAGGTACACTTCAACTGTGAGAGACAGAATCTAAAACAACAATCCAGAAAATCACATTGTATGATTTTTAAGTAATTAATTTGCATTTATTTAAATTACAGACCTCTACATGCTTTGTAAGTAGGAAAACCTGCAAATTCGGCAGTGTATCAAATACTTGTTCTCCCCACTGTATATGGTGTACACTGTACTGTATATTAGTATTGTGAGTTGTTTTGGCCTGTGTATGTGGTGTTAGGGCTATGTGTGTGTGTGTTGTCTGTTAGCCGTGTGTGTCTTAAGTCTTTTACTTCAAATTGATTTGTTTGGAGACTGTACATGGCATGTGTATTGTGCTGTATACTGTGTGCCAGTACTATGCATGGGTGCCTATAATGCCTGAATTGCCTAGATGAACAGTGTGTCCATAAATTAATTTATATAGCCCTTTTTACATCAACAGTTGTCACAAAGTGCTTATACAGAAACCCAGCCTAAAACCCCAAAGAGCAAGCAATGCAGATGTAGAAGTACGGTGGCTAGGAAAAACTCCCTAGAAAGGCAGAAACCTAGGAAGAAACCTAGAGAGGAATCAGGCTTTGAGGGGTGGCCAGTCCTCTTCTGGCTGTGCCGGGTGAAGATTATAAGAGTACGTGGCCATTAAGGCCAGATCGTTCTTCAAGATGTTCAAACATTAATAGATGACCAGCAGGGTCAAATAATAATCACAGTGGTTATAGAGGGCAGGAATAAATGACAGCTGGCTTTTCATAGCCAAGCATTCAGAGAAGGGGCGAGAGAGAACAACAATTTTGTCCAGGATTAGGGCTGTGGCGGTCCCGAAATTTCGTCAGCCGGTGATTGTCAAGCAAATAACTGTCGGTCTCACGGTAATTGACCGTTAATTAACATAAAGGGGTTCCACACATGCAAGCTGCTGATGTGTGCCTTTTGAAACATCTACATTTACAAGTCTAAAGTGTAATAAATCCCTTTATTTGCCTTTACACCATCACAATAAATCCATTATTTATTTTTGGCAGGTCTACGAAACATTATAATAAAGCCAATAAAGGAAAACGAGACTGGTTATCCCGCCATCATGATAGGGGTTCAGCAATATGTGTCCGGTTCCTTCTCGTCCATATAGCGGGTCATCTCGGTGTCGGCATGCACTCTCAAGGATACAGGGGGGGGGGAGCTTTCAGGGCCAGTTTCTTCTCTAAGAAGATCACCAAGATTCATATTTTTAGCCGGGGGCTGTGCACAGTCATCCCCATCTCCAGCTGTACAGCTGGTGCTGCCTCCGTCTACTTCCCCGAGTGCCAACATCTCCTGAAGGAGGGCATCTTTTCGTGCCATCTCCCACACGGCCTTTGTACCGGGGGTCAAGTAGGCAGGTCTTTAACAAAAGTGCCTGTAGTGCTGTTGCTTTGTGCTTGTCCTGCAATACACTTCCCATTTTCTTTTTTATAGTTTTTCGTTAGCTCGGAGTCATTGGGTTTGGGAGAGAGAATCTGTCCCGTTAAAAGTTGTAAAACGGGCTTGACTGACGACACTGTCACATAGTTCTCCCCAGACAGGATATCAGTGAAGTCGGCCACAGGCTTCAGTGCGGCATTGACCGATTGCAGAACATTGATGACCTGCCATGATGGATCTAAATGCTTGTGATTTTGATCGTCAATTAATACCTGTTGTATGGCCGAGACCTGCGCCGAAACTCTTTCGACCATTTGTTGTTTGATCACCCAACCTGTTCTACAATCCTGCAGGATGAAAAATAATAACATTTTATGAAATGCAAGGGAATTCAATGGGCATATCATTCGATTTATATACGATTTATAAATCTAGGACCAACATCTTGATAACGAAATTGTAGCTTGTATTTGATTTAAATAGCCTAAAATTAATAGAATGAAATGTGCTCATCATTCAATTGAGATATAGTGAAGGCCTATTAATAGGACTAACATCTTGATAGTGGAATTGTAGCTTGTATTTGATTTAAATAGCCAAACATTTATGGAATGCAATAGGCATATAATTTGATTGATATACATTGTATTAATCTAAGACCAACATCTTGATAACGAAATTGTAGCTGATTTTTAATTTAAATAGCCTAAAATTAATGGAATGCAATGGAATTTAAGACTGACTATGAACTAAATAAGATTAAGCACTCACCAGTATGAGAACGTGCTGGGGCATCTCAAGAACCTCCTGTGCTTTATGGAGGTTTCTCCTCTTCAACCAGCTCGTGGAGAAGGTGCTGGCGAGTGTCCTAGAGCCCCAAGGCCCGGGTTGTGCGGTCTTTCTGACTTGCAACACCTTTTGTGACGGCCAGATGCAGGTTGTTTCCAAAGCAGCTAAGCCATGGCCAACCCAACTGCCTCACCACGGCCACAATGTTTGCCCCGTTGTCAGTTGTGATGCAGGACACTTTCTTCTCATCCAATGCCCACTCTGCCAACACGGACCGGAGAGCTTCACTCAGGTTATCCGCAGTATGATTCTCTGGCATATAGGTCGTCTCAAGACAATGGGACACAATGGTCGCGCCCCCGTAGAAATCTAGTTAACATAATTTTAAAATCCCCATCAAAATCTGTCTGTTTAAGATAGAGATATCAGTTTTTTTGCATGGGCTGTGTCTTAATCCACCGCATCCGCTGAAATCGGCCATTCGCATCTGCGGTGAAAGGTGGCAGAGCTACAGCGGTGTTTGTCAGACCATTAGACATCCCGAAAATCGGTCTTCTCACAAAATTATATGTAGTGTCGGAACGGTTTGGCCTAGAAACTATTTTGACCACTCTACTGAAAGACTCCTCACGAACACGATGGTGTTCTCCGTTTTGCTCTACGACGCCCACAAGCCTCACAACACTTGTCTGAAGGCCCCCGGTACCAGTTTGAAAGAATTATGGAATTATATATGGAGATAGTTTTAGTGCCTAAAATAAGGGGATAAATACATGCGAAAGATATATATGTATATGTATATGTATGTTTCCTGATCTTTCTTATATCTCTCAGATATAGGACGGACACATCAGAACAAATTTACTTTAGATTTAGTTTTGGACTATCTGTTGTTCCATGTAGTGAATATTTTATTCAATGCGGTTTTTTTGGCTAATAGCAGTAATGCCAAATTCAATGTTTCATCCAATAATTTTGTTATATATTTTTTTAGACCATAAGGGGTCTTAAAATTCCAAATCAAATAGCTAAATAACACTTGGTATGACCATTTTAAAACAATTCCATATGTTAGCTTAGAACCCTCCCCCGCTTAGACTTAGAGGGGTAAAAGTGTACAATGCAGAAATCACTCCACATTTCCTGGATGCAAAAATTCTAATAGTTCGCCTAATTTCAGTTTATGTGACAAAACAAGCAAGTATAGTGTAGAGAATCATTCTACCATCTACACCAATGTGAAATATATTTTCCATAGCCAAAAATATTGTACACTGAACACAATATAAACGCAACATGCAACAATTTCAAAGGTTTTACTGAGTTACAGTTCTATAAGGAAATCAGTCAATTGAAAGAAATGTATTCATCCCTAATCTATGGATTTCACATGACTGAGAATACAGATTTGAATAGAGTTGATCAGGCTGTTGATTGTGGAATGTTGTCCCACTCCTCATCAATGGCTGTGCGGGAACTGGAACACGCTGTCGTACACGTCGATCCAGAACATGCTATACACGTCGGTCCGTAGCTTATGTCTGCCCATACCATAACCCCACCGCCACCATGGGGCACTCTGTTCACAACGTTGACATCAGCAAACCTCTCGCCCACGTGACGCCATACACAGTCTGCCATCTGCCCGGTACAGTTGAAACCGGGATTCATCCGTGAAGAGCACACTTCCCCAGCGTGCCAGTGGCTGTCCGGGTGGCTGGTCTCAGACAATTCCGCAGGTGAAGAAGCCAGTTGGGAAGGTCCTGGGCTGACATGGTTACACGTGGTCTACAATTGTGAGGCCGGTTGGACGTACTGCCAAATTCTCTAAAACGTCATTGTACAGAAATGAACATTAAATGATCTGGCAACAGCTCTGGTGGACATTCCTGCAGTCAGCATGCCAATTGCACGCTCCCTCAAAATGTAAGACATCTGTGGCATTGTGTTGTGTGACAAAACTGCACATTTTAGAGTGGCCTTTTATTGTCCCCAGCACAAGGTGCACCTGTGTAATGACCATGCTATTTAATCAACTTCTTGATATGCCACACCTGTCAGGTGGATGGATTATTGTGTTTATTTTTTTGTTCTGTATATTTTCAGCTGTTTGAAGCTGGTGCTTTTATATGCTTTTATATGCTTTCCTGAGACGACTGTACAACCATCGAGATTCATTGTCAGATCCGACAGCAGAACTCTTTGTTTCTTGGGACCTACAACTAGCATATCCGTAGCAAGCCGGCAGTAAAGCCTAAACCTGAACCTCCGTCTGTGACAGGAGAGCCTGGTGATTGACACGCCTCGTGTGAGGAAGCAGACGCGTCACTACAACTCGTTTGAGGATGACGAGCTGATGGAGTTCTCCGAGCTGGACAGCGACTCAGAAGAGAGGCCCTGTCGCACCCGCCGCCTCAGCGAGAGGAGCAGGCACTACCTCCGTGCAGAGTGCTTCCGTGTAGAGAAGAACCTGCTCATATTCGGGTCAGTTTCACAGCCTCTTATATTTCTCAGTTATACTTTCAGTAGCCTTTCTATTGTGCCATACTGTAAAAAAAAATTGTTCCCTATGTAAGTGCTCTCTGTACCTCAAACTGTACCTTAGTAAGCACTCTTACTAATTACTGCAGAGTTACAGTGTGCAGGTTTCCCAAACATCTCAAGTAACCCCCAATAAGTACCATTTATTTTATGCATTTCGGTACTACCCCACCTGATTCAGTTGGTCAACCAGTGAAGGGCTTGGTGATTAGTTGATAAATTAGTTGTGGAATACATCAAATATGTGGCACTGGCTGGGGGTACTTGAGGGGAGTTTTGGGAATCACTACAGTAGGCTACATTAGAGTACAGTATTTAGGTATTGTATCCAACTGACTCTGTCCTCATGCCACTCACTCCATGTCTCTGCGTGTGCCCACATAGCTGGGGTCGCTGGAACGACATCCTGACCCATGGGCGCTTCAAGTGGCAACTGGCCGAATGCGACATTGAGGTGCTGTGCCGGTCGCTGCTGGTCTACTGCTTGCGCCACTACAAGGGCGACGACAAGATCAAGAGCTTTATCTGGGACCTCATCACACCCGCCAAGGATGGCCATAAACAGGACCTGCAGAACCACTCTGGTGAGAGACTCACTAACATCCCCTGATACAAGCTGCCATTCACTCATTCAGATATGGTGTGGGGGAAAGAGGACAGGCAATATGGTTAGTTATGTTGACAACACTCAAATGAATAATCAAGCTCTGAAAAGCAACTCGTAGTGCCAGAGTTTGGTGTAATAGCCTAGAAAGCGGACTCCAGATCATGCATGGCCCCCTGCGATGGGGGTTTGAATCCACACTCAGCATCTTGTACTACTCTTTATTACATCTTGTATCTACTCTGTCTATCCCTTAGCATAAAAAAATAAAAGCGATCCCCACCCTTCTCCGATGGTTTGCTATGGTCTCCAAATGTCTATCCTTTAATGTGGACAGGTGTGCAGTAAGGTGATTACATGATATAGTTCAATTCCAACCTTTCCACAAGCAGGCCTGTCGGCCCCAGTCCCCAGGGGACGCAAGGGTAAGAAGCTAAAGAACCAGCTGAGTGTGCCCGAGATGAAGCATGCAGACTGGCTGGTCAACTGCAACCCAGAGGTGGTGCTGCATGATGACAGCTACAAGAAACACCTCAAGCAGCACTGCAACAAGTGAGTCCCCCATTCCTCACAATTCACTTTCAGCTGTTAGTGAACAGTCATGTTCTCCTGTATGCAGAATGGGATTCCTAAGGTTGCTAAATCTTACAAAACATACATACTAGTCTAGTTCTATTTGAAATTATGATTTTTTTTTGGTGCTGAAGTCTAGGGAGTAAGGGCTAGATTTACTAAGCTTTTGCTTTTTGTTTTATCTCTTCCTAAAAACAGGTGAAAATGCTTAGCAACTCTGCACTGGCCCTAAGTGGTTTGGTGTTTATCCAATAAGAGACTGATGAGGGGTATATGTGTTGTGTTATGTGCGTTGTTGTGCCAAGGGTACTTCTGAGGGTGAGGATGCTGTACTACCTGAAGGCGGAGGTACTGGGAGAGGCTGCTGCCCAGTCCCTGGAGGGCATTCCTGCCAGGTACAAAGTGCACCACGAGGGCACCCATTAATCATACCACTTACTTATCTAGGTCCGGGAAACCAGACTAAAGTGAATGGCTGATTTGTGTGTGTGTGTGATCTGTGCAGTAAACTGGAGGTGGCACTGCCTGACATCGACTACATCGAGATCCCAGCAGGCTGGTGGGATGCAGAGGCAGATAAGTCTCTCCTCATAGGAGTGCACAAACACGGTAATCCTCTAGTCTAGGGTCTCCTGTTTGTCAGGTCCTCATGGCTCTCACTATACAATCCAATTTTATGTACACTGAACAAAAATATAAATGCAACATGTAACAATTTCAAAGATTTTACTGAGTTACAATTCATATAAGGAAATTAGTCAATTGAAATAAATAAATGAGGCCCTAATCTATGGATTTCACATGACTGTGAATAAAGGTATGCATCTGTTGGTCACAGATACCAAAAAAAAAAAAAAAAAAAGTAGGGGCGTGAATCAGAAAACCAGTCAGTATCTGGTGTGACCACCATTTGCCTCATGCAGCGTGACACATCTCCTTCGCATAGAGTTGATCAGGCTGTTGATTGTGGCCTGTGGAATGTTGTCTTCTTCAATGGCTGTGTGAAGTTGCTGGATATTGGCGGGAACTGGAACACGCCATTGTACACGTCGATCCAGATGATCCCAAACATGCTCAATGGGTGACATGTCTGGTGAGAATGCAAGCCATGGAAGAACTGGGACATTTTCAGCTTCCAGGAATTGTGTACATGACCTTGCAACATGGGGCCGTGCATTAGCATGCTAAAACGAGGTGATGGCGGCGGATGAATGGCACGATAATTGGCCTCAGGATCTCATCAGGTATCTCTGTGCCTTCAAATTGCCATCGATAAAACGCAATTGTGTTTGTTGTCCGTAGCTTATGCCTGCCCATACCATAACCCCACCGCCACCATGGTGCACTCAGTTTTCAATGTTGACATCAGCAAACCGCTCGCCCACACGACGCCATCTGCCCGGTACAGTTGATACCGGGATTCATTCGTGAAGACCACACTTCTCCAGCTTGCCAATGGCCAGTGAGCATTTGCCCACTGAAGTCGGTTACAACGCTGAACTGCAGTCAGGTCAAGACCCTGGGTCGGACGACGAGCACAAATAAGCTTACCTGAGACGGTTTTGACAGTGTGCAGAAATTCTTCAGTTGTGCAAACCCACAGTTTCATCAGCTGTCCGGGTGGCTGGTCTCAGACGATCCCGCTAGTGAAGAAGCCGGATCTGGAGGTCCTGTGTTGGCGTGGTTACACATGGTCTGCGGTTGTGAGGCCGGTTGGACGTACTGCCAAATTCTCTAAAACGACGTCGGTAGAAAAATTTACATTTCATTCTCTGGCAACCGCTCTGATGGACATTCCTGTAGTCAGCATGGCAATTGCACGCTCCCTCAACGTAAGACATCTGTGGTATTTTGTTGTGTGACCAAACTGCACGTTTTAGTGGCCTTTTCTTGTCCCCAGCACAAGGTGCACCTGTGTAATGATATGCTGTTTAATCAGCTTCTTGATATGCCACACCTGTCAGGTGGATGGATTATCTTGGCAAAGGAGAAATGCTCACTAACAAGGAGGTAAACTAATTTGTGCACAAGCTTAAGCTTTTTGTACGTACGGAAACTTTATGGGATCTTTTATTTCAGCTCATGAAACATGGGACCAACACTTTACATGTTGCGTATATGTTTTTGTGCAGTGTATTTTATGTTACAGTATATTGAAGTCATGGTTTATCCATTTCAAAAGATCACACATCAACCTTGGTTCTAGAGAATTTCAGGGTGTGCAAGCCTTTATTCGAAGACAGCACGAAAACACCTTATTCAACTAATCAAGGTCCTGATGATCAGTGGATTAGAGTCCGCTTTTAAAGACATACTGTTTTACCTCAATTACTAGTTTGATAGTGACTGTTTTTCTGGAAGCTGTGCTGCACCATTTTCATCAATTGGGCCAGCCCCCTAGCAATTTGAGTTCTAGACAATGATCTTCAGCCATTTGAGTGACAGCTAGCAAGATGCACACACAGCAGAGCGAGAGTAATGACTTGGTGCACATACTGTATCTGCACATATGTGACGTAATATGCAATTTTCAGGACCACTTATTACTCGTGAGCTCTACTTTCAGAACTACTGGCTAAAAAGTATACAAAAGTACCGGAGAATCTCTATAAGCCTGTAGCTCACCCTGTAAATCTTGGATCAGGATTGGTAATTACTGGCCTACCACATATCACAGTTATTAGTCATTGATAAATTGATCTTACATTTTATGTTAACGGTAGATTTAAGTCTAAAGCCACTGCCGTCATCACCATCGGCGCTCAGTAACCCTGGTGTCTCCTCAGGGTACGAGCGGTACAACGCCATGCGGGCCGACCCAGAGCTGTGCTTCTTGGAGCTGGTGGGCATGCCTGACGTCACGGCGCTCTCAGCCGAGCAGAGTGGAGGAGAGGTGGTGGCTGACCTCACTGACAGGCAAGAACCACCTCAGCCTTACCATAGGGCACAAGTCTTATTTGAAGGATGGCATACAGTATTATGAACATCCCCAGTACCGAATCTCAGGTGCTGTGTACGAATGTGAATGTCAACCGATGTCTGCATGCCCCAAAATGTCAACCGATGTCTGCATGCCCCAAAATGTCAACCGATGTCTGCATGCCCCAATATGTCAACCAATGTCTGCATGCCCCAAAATGTAATGTATCAGCAATACCTCAATCTAGTTCCCCTAAATACATTAATACATCCTGGGTGGTCAAGCTGACTCTGGTGATGGAGCAAGTGATATAACTTTGGTCTATCTTAATTGTTGCTTCTTATTAGTAATTGCAAAAGTGATGACATGAAAGACGATCCTGAAAGCAAGCAAGAGGAGGGAGGAATGGAAAGGGTTGATAATAAGGTATGGACTCTCGAGTGACTCAGCTAAATGAAAATGAAGGATTTAAGGATTTAGTATCTAAAAAGGTTGAGTTGTGAAGTTATATCGTCTATTTTTGCTCCAAAAGGATGAAACCGGCTCCAGCAATGATGCAATGGACAAGCATGACAGTGTTGTTCAAGGTGAGTGTTCAGCTACCTTTCAACGTGTCTTTTTGAATGAAACACCTTACAAACTGGAGAATCTGTGAGTGCATATAGATTATAGGAGTTTTATCAACTCCCAAGTTCCACCTCGATCATTTTCTGCAGGTGTCACGTGGGTTAATCTACAAATAGATTGCCTTCAGGGGAAGTGTAATTTTGTCAAAACGTTATTTATTTCACATAACATTCTGTCATAAAAAGCAAATGTTTAACTTCATAACAAACAAGTTTTCCCATCTCAAAAATGGCTATAAAAGTTACTATAAAATGCATGTGAATATATGTAAACAAAGCTTTGATCTGATTCTGTTACTTTCCAGACACACTCTCAGTGGAGATGGCCCAGGAGGGCTTTGGCCAGGAGGGCTTTGGCCAGGAAGGGTTTGGCCAGGAGGGCATGGAGCTGAAGGGTCGCCCTCTGTGGCCCGCCGGCCCTAACCTTACCGCCAGGCTGCGTCGCCTCATCACAGCTTACCAGCGCTTCATGCGGCGCGAGCCCTTGCGTCATGACTTCTTACTGCCAGGGGCGGGCCCGGGGCCGATGTCCTGGCAACTGGGGGAGGAGCTTAGGCGCTGCACGGCAGCCGCTGCCAAACCTGACCCTCTCTTCCTGGAGTGGCAGAGAAGGTGGGTGATGATGTCAGAGCAAAGGTGGGTGATGTCATTGATCCCCTACATTATGTCCCTTTCGGTTCCTAGCCCCTTACCCCCCTCTATGTTCACCGTTCTGTAAGGCCTGGGTATATCTTAGCAATACGATGCTACCTTTCCTATAAGGCCTGGGTATATCTTAGCAATACGATGCTACCTTTCCTATAAGGCCTGGGTATATCTTAGCAATACGATGCTACCTTTCCTATAAGGCCTGGGTATATCTTAGCAATACGATGCTACCTTTCCTATAAGCTAACTTTCACAAAGCATATCCTTCAAGATCTATGAACACCTGCTGGGCTAGGGGATGAAATTGGACTGGTTCCTTGTTTGTGGCCCTAAAATATTGTGCGTGTCAAAGACAAAATATAGAAATGAAGTCAGAAATGTCTTCATTTGGATTAAGAAATGTGACTTCAATGTGTCTTTCTGAAACCAGATGGCTTTTGGGTGAGATACCCACAGCTGCCTCCTTCGGCAGTCACATGGTCAGTGCATGTCCCCCTGATAAAAGGCTAATGGTAGGCCTGTGTTTTTGTGAGCAGGTGGACACGGCGTGAGCAAGCAGATTTCTACCGCACAGTGTCGTCGTTCGGCGTGGTGTACGACCCAGAGAAGAAAACCTTTGACTGGAGTCAGTTCCGATCCTTCGCCCGGCTGGAGAGGAAAACGGACGAGAGCCTGGAGAGATACTTCAGCAGCTTTGTGTCCATGTGCCGCACCGCCTGCAGATTGCCCCCCAGGAAGGACGAAGGTAACTACTCCACAGGAGGCAGAGCAAGAGAGCTTACCCTTTAAAGGTGCAATAAGTAGGAATTTCATCCACAAATATACCCACATTTCTATAATATGTAAATAGTTGGTTAGTCACTGCTAGGGTTGCAAAATACCGGTACCTTTCCCAAAATCCCCAGGTTTCTAAAAATCCAGGAATATGCAGGAAATCAGTAATCATCCAACCAGAATGTTTAAACCCTAGGGAATGCCAAAATGTAGTTATTTTGTTAGGTAAATCTTGCTATTAGTTGAAATCGTTTTTTTTTTTAAAGGCATTTTACCTGTCGAGCTAATTGTTTGGTCAGAATCTAGCATGGAAACATGGGAATTTGTAGCTATGCTAACGTTGCCTCCCTTCTGAGGCACATGTTGCTAGGCAATCACCCTACACTTGCCCAGGCAGGGCTGCGCCAACTGTGGCTAAAGCCAATGTGATAAACTTGCTAGAATACTTTTGTGCTATGAAACTAAATAAATACTCCACTTAGAACCACAAAACATATTTTCTAGATTCAAAATAGTGTAGTTAGACAAAGCAAGGTAAGTAATTACGTGATGTTGTTTTATTGGGATTTGCAGCTGTTGTTGGTTAGTAATGCATCCTCCAAGCTTCTAAAACAACTTACTCAACCTTTAACAAAAGTCTCTGCCAAAGGAAAGTGTCTTAAAGAGAGAGTTCACTTTATAGATTTTTTTGTGTATTTTAGCGGTGCTTTCAAAAGCATGGGGAAAGATAGGTGGAGGTTAGTAGATTTATGACAGTATTATTTTTACAATAGTAGTGATATTGCAATGGGGTGATTTGAATGATACAATTATATGAAAGTAAGCCCTCTCCATCTGTCTGTCAGGGCCTCTGGACCACAATCTGTTTGTGGAGCCCATCACGGAGGAGCGAGCAGCACGCACCCTCTACCGCATCGAGCTGCTGCGCAAGGTCAGGGAGCAGGTGCTGCGCCACCCGCTGCTGGGTCCACGGCTGCAACTGTGTCGGCCCAGCCTTTACCTGCCCGTGTGGTGGGAGTGTGGCAAACACGACCGCGACCTCCTGATTGGGGCAGCCCGCCACGGCCTCAGCCGCACCGACTACTACATCCTCAACGACCCGCAACTCTCCTTCCTGGAGGCCCACCGCAACTACGTCCAGAAGGAGAATCACCAGGGCTACCATCCTGGGGTGCACCACGCAGGTATGGCCCCCTCACCCCACCTCCACCCCTGCTGCCTGTACGAGACAGGCCTCGGCCAATGCCACTCTCCCCAGCCGCCGGAGTACCACCACCCAGCCACCCCCTCCTCCTCGTCGATCCATGCACATTCTCACCCGCACATCCACGTCCATGGTCACCCGCCAGAGATAGTGGGCAAGGATTCCGGGGGCAGCCTAGGTATGGTGTCTGGGCCCAGGGAGGGCTTCCTGGACTGCCCCCCTCTGGACGAGTCCTTGGAGCTGGCCTCACTGCAGCAAGAGGGCCTGGCCTCAGATTCCCTCCATGGCAAGTCTGCCAAGGAGGCCTTCAACGGGTTCCCCTTCAACTCTGCGCAGGGCGGCCAGAGCATGCTCAACTCGTATGGTGTGCAGGGGGAGCTGAACGGCGAGCAGTCAGCCGACATGGACCCTATCATCTCGAGCAAGCTGCGCAGCGACGTGCTGGTGGGTGAGCAGGGCTCCTCTGAGGAGACGGGCCTGATGGCGCCCTTGCTGGAGCTGGACCAGGAGCTGCAGGCGCCCTGGGAGAGCACGGACCACACCGGCGCCGCGGACATGTTCAACGAGGCTGACCCCATCCTGGGGGCGCCCGCCCTTGAGACTGAGTTCCTGGACACCGAAGAGCAGCGGGGAGATGGGGGAAGGGAAGACAGAGCAGGGGGAGTGCTTGATGACTGCCTGGGTATCCCATCCTCCCGTAGTGACCCAGGGGAGCCGCTGCCCTCTTGTTTTATGCTGTTCAAGGACATTGGTGTGAGCGAGGAGGAGCCTGCTGAGAAGCACACCGACCTCTCCACCAGCTGCCCTCCACCCTACGTCCCCCCTCCGCCCCTGTCGCTGTCCCATATGACCTTGCACCCCCACCACCACCAGGGTGATGCCGAGGAGCTAGAGGAGAAGCTGAGCGATTCGGACGCCGTCACCCACATGCCCTGCCCCAAGGAGAGAGAGGCTGAGAATGATGTGGCCTTTGAGTTTGACAAAGAGATGTCTGTAGACAGTCTGTGTCTGGTGGGGCCGGAGCAGGGCCTGGAAGCCTCAGGTATACCATGCGAGGACTCTCCCCAAGAGGAGCCCTTCGAGGGGGCCTGCGAGGGGACGGGGATGGGCTCTCCAGTGGAGTCACTTGAGGCGGCTCTAGAGGGGCCAGGGGAAGAGACTTTAGAAAGGGACATGGCCTTAGGGCCAGAGGAGGAGGGGCTTCTAGAGGGGCAGTTTGAAGAACCCTTGGAGATGTCACCAATGGATCCCCAGGAGGAGGAACCAGTGGAGGGGCCTCTGGAAGACTCTTGTAAAGACCCAGCACCAGAAGGACCGTTCGCAGGGCCATTGGAGGAGCAGTACGACGTAGAACCAGAAGGGGCCTCTGAGGGGCCTGCCGAAGCAGAGAGCACTTTCAGCGAACACACACTCCCCACTGTTGACGCAACAGACTCTCTGCCCCCATCCCCCTCATTCCCCACGTCCCAGCCTAAGCCACCACTGTCCCCACGCGTGGCGGGAGTGGCACAGATCAAACTGGAGTTCCCTCTGGACCCAGAGAGCTCTGAGAGCAAGTCGGACATCCTGGAGCCCGACAGCACTGTCCTCACACCCAAACTGGAGCAGACAGAGGTGCTGCTGGAGGTGAAGGACGAGATCGAGGAGAGGCCCCAAACCCCAGGTAATGAAAGGAGAGAGTTTTACACACATCCAAAATGGTAATATGAGCTGGACAAAAAGAAGGTACAATACATAGAGCAGTGGTTCCCAAACTTTTTATAGTCCCGTACCCCTTCAAACATTCAACCTCCAGCTGCGTACCCCCTCTAGCACCAGGGTCAGTGCACTCTCAAATGTTGTTTTTTGCCAGCATTGTAAGCCTGCCACACACACTATACGATACATTTATTAAACATAAGAATGAGTGTGAGTTTTTGTCACATCCCGGCTCGTGGGAAGTGACAAAGAGCTCTTGTAGGACCAGGGCACAAATAATAATATTATAATAATGAATCATTTTGCTCTTTATTTAGCCGTCTTACATATGAAACCTTATTTGGTCATCAGAAATTGTGAATAACTCACCACAGGTTAATGAGAAGGGTGTGCTTGAAAGGATGCACATAACTGCAATGTTTGGTTGTGTTGGAGAGAGTCTGTCTTAAATCATTTTCCACACACCGTCTGTGCCTGTATTTAAACTCAGCAAAAAAAGAAACGTCCTCTCACTGTCAACTGCGTTTATTTTCAGCAAACTTAACACGTGTAAATATTTGTATGAACATAACAAGATTCAACAACTGAGACATAAACTGAACAAGTTCCACAGACATGTGACTAACAGAAATTGAATAATTTGTCCCTGAACAAAGGGGGGGGGCAAAATCAAAGTAACAGTCAGTATCTGGTGTGGCCACCAGCTGCATTAAGTACTGCAGTGCATCTCCTCCTCATGGACTGCACCAGATTTGCCAGTTCTTGCAGTGAGATGTTACCCCACTCTTCCACCAAGGCACCTGCAAGTTCCCGGACATTTCTGGGGGGAATGGCCCTAGCCCTCACCCTCCGATCCAATAGGTCCCAGACGTGCTCAATGAGATTGAGGTCCGGGCTCTTCGCTGGCCATGGCAGAACACTGACATTCCTGTCTTGCAGGAAATCACGCACAGAACGAGCAGTATGGCTGGTGGCATTGTCATGCTGGAGGGTCATGTCAGGATGAGCCTGCAGGAAGGGTACCACATGAGGGAGGAGGATGTCTTCCCTGTAACGCACAGCGTTGAGATTGCCTACAATGACAACAAGCTCAGTCCGATGATGCTGTGACACACCGCCCCAGACCATGACGGACCCTCCACCTCCAAATCGATCCCGCTCCAGAGTACAGGCCTCGGTGTAACGCTCATTCCTTCGATGATAAACGCGAATCTGACCATCACCCCTGGTGAGACAAAACCACGACTTGTCAGTGAAGAGCACTTTTTGCCAGTCCTGTCTGGTCCAGCGACGGTGGGTTTGTGCCCATAGGCGACATTGTTTCCGGTGATGTCTGGTGAGGACCTGCCTTACAACAGGCCTACAAGCCCTCAGTCCAGCCTCTCTCAGCCTATTTTGGACAGTTTGAGCACTGATGGAGGGATTGTGCGTTCCTGGTGTAACTCGGGCAGTTGTTGTTGGCATCCTGTACCTGTCCGGCAGGTGTGATGTTCGGATGTACCGATCCTGTGCAGGTGTTGTTACACGTGGTCTGCCGCTGCGAGGACGATCAGCTGTCCGTCCTGTCTCCTTTTAGCGCTGTCTTATGCGTCTCAATACGGACATTGCAATTTATTGCCCTGGCCACACCTGCAGTCCTCATGCCTCCTTGCAGCATGCCTAAGGCACGTTCACGCAGATGAGCAGGGACCATGGGCATCTTTCTTTTAGTGTTTTTCTGAGTCAGTAGAAAGGCGTCTTTAGTGTCCTAAGTTTTCATAACTGTGACCTTAATTGCCTACCGTCCTGTAAGCTGTTAGTGTCTTAACGACCGTTCCACAGGTGCATGTTCATGAATTGTTTATGGTTCATTGAACAAGCATGGGAAACCGTGTTTAAACCCTTTACAATAAAGATCTGTGAAGTTATTTTGATTTTTACTAATTATCTTTGAAAGACAGGGTTGAAAAAGGGCCGTATCTTTTTTTGCTGAATATAGTTTTCATGCTAATGAGGGCCGAGAATCCACTCTCACATAGGTACGTGGTTGCAAAGGGCATCAGTGTCTTAACAGCGCGATTTGCCAAGGCAGGATACTCTGAGCGCAGCCCTATCCAGAAATCTGGCAGTGGCTTCTGATTAAATTCAATTTTCACAGAACCGCTTGTTGCAATTCCGATGAGGCTCTCTTGTTCAGATATCGGTAAGTGGACTGGAGGCAGGGCATGAAAGGGATAACGAATCCAGTTGTTTGTGTACCTGCGTAATTGTACCTGCGTAATTGCGCACCCAGCTCACTCAGGTGCTTCGGTATATCACATTTGACATTGTCCGTAAGCTTGAGTTCATTTGCACACAAAAAATCATACAATGATGGAAAGACCTGTGTGTTGTCCTTGTTAATGCAGACAGAGAAGAGCTCCAACTTCTTAATCATAGCCTCAATTTTGTTCCGCACATTGAGTATAGTTGCAGAGAGTCCCTGTAATCCTAGATTCAGATCATTCAGGCAAGAAAAAACATCACCCAGATAGGCAGCAGTCATGCAAGCAGTCAGACAAGTGAAAATGATGGTCAGTAAAGAAAACTTTAAGCTCGTCTCTCAATTTAAAAAAAACGTGTCAATACTTTTCCCCTTGATAACCAGCGCACTTCTGTATGTTGTAAAAGCGTTACATGGTCGCTGCCAATATCATTGCACAATGCAGAAAATACACGAGTTCAGGGGCCTTGCTGTAATAAACTTAACCATTTTCACTGTAGTGTCCAAAACGTCTTTCAAGCTGTCAGGCATTCCCATTCCCTCTCATACCCAAGTGGCGTCGGGAGCAACTGCTTGCACGTGCGTTACCACTCCATTGTCTCCCTGTCATGGCTTTTGCGCCATCAGTATAGAAACCAACACATCTTGACCACCAAATCCATTTGATGTCACAAAGCTGTCCAGTACTTATCCTCTCCTGGTTTCCAGTGGTTTGCAGAAGAGGATGTATTCCTTAATTGACCCCCCCCCCCTCCCCCCATAAACGTAACGGACATATACCAGGAGCTGTGCCAGGCCCGCCACGTCTGACTCATCCAGCTATAACGCATAGAATTCATTGGCTTTTATGCGAAAGCAGTAATTGTTTCAAAACATCTCCTGCCATGTCACTGATGCGTCATTAAACTGTGTTGTTTGATGAAGGCATTGTCTGTAGTTTTTTGGGCCGTTTCCCCCAGCATTGTCCCAACCATATCCGCGGCAGCAGGAAGAATTAAGTCCTCCACAATAGTATGGGGCTTGCCTGTCCAAGCCACTCGGTAGCTCACCATATAAGACGCTTCTAGCCCCTTCTTATTAATGGTATCTGTTGCTTTTATACACTACCAGTCAAAAGTTTGGACACACCTACTCATTCAAGGGTTTTTCTTTATTTTAAATATTTTTTACATTGCAGAATAATAGTTAAGACATAAAAACTATGAAATAACACATATGGAATGTAGTAACCAGAAAAGTGTTAAAAAATCTAAATATATTTGAGATTCTTCAAATAGCCACCCTTTGCCTTGATGACAGCTTTGCACACTCTTGGCATTCTCTCAACCAGCTTCATGAGGTAGTCACCTGGAATGCATTTCAATTAACAGGTGTGCCTTCTTAAAAGTTAATTTGTGGAATTTCTTTCCTTCTTAATGCGTTTGAGCCAATCAGTTGTGTTGTGACAAGGTAGGGGGGTATACAGAAGATAGCCCTATTTGGTAAAAGACCAAGTCCATATTATGGCAAGAACAGCTCAAATAAGCAAAGAGAAATTATAGTCCATCATTAGGTCAGTCAATATAGAACATTTCAAGAACTTTGAAAGTTTATTCACTGGCTGTCAGGAGGACCGTCACAGGAATGGAATACCCAGAGTTACCTCTGCTGCAGAGGATAAGTTCATTAGAGTTACCAGCCTCAGAAATTACTGCCCAAATAAATTATTCACAGAGTTCAAGTCACAGACACATCTCAACATCAACTGTTCAGAGGGGACTGTGTGAATCAGGCCTTCATGGTCGAATTGCTGCAAAGAAACCACTACTAAAGGACACCAATAAGAAGAAGAGACATGCTTGGGCCAATAAACACGAGCAATGGACATTAGACCAGTGGAAATTTGAGATTCTCAAATTTGAGATTTTTGGTTCTAACTGCTGTGTCTTTGTGAGACGAGGTGTGGGTGAACGGATGATCTCCGCATGTGTATTTCCCACCGTAAAGCATGGAGAAGGAGGTGTTATGGTGTGGGGGTGCTTTGCTGGTGACACTGTCTGTGATTTATTTAGAATTCAAGGCACACTTAACCAGCATGGCTACCACAGCTTTCTGCAGCGATATGCCATCCCATCTGGTTTGAGCTTAGTGGGACTATTATTTGTTTTTTAACAGGACAATGACCTAACACACCTCCAGGCTGTGTAAGGGATATTTTACCAAGAAGGAGAGTGATGGAGTGCTGCATCAGGTGGCCTCCACAATCCCCCGAACTCAACCCAATTGAGATGGTTTGGGATGAGTCGGACCGCAGAGTGAAGGAAAGGCAGCCAAGAAGTGCTCAGCATATGTGGGAACTCCTTCAAAAAGGATTCCTGGTGAAGCTGGTTGAGAGACTGCCAAGAGTGTGCAAAGCTGTCAAGGCAAAGGGTGGCTATTTGAAGAATTTCAAATATAAAATATAGTTTGATTTGTTTAACAATTTTTTGGTTACTACCTGAATACATATGTGTTATTTCATAGTTTTGATGTCTTCGCTATTATTCTACAATGTAGAAAATAGTCAAAATAAAGACAACCCTTGAATGAGTAGGTGTGTCCAAACTTTTGACTGGTACTGTACATGGCTTGCTACTTGAAAGTCGTCTTAATTCTCACTCCAAAAACTCCTGTGGCTTATTTTTCAAATTGGCATGTTTCGTTTCTAAATGTCTGCACAAGAGTGACGGTTTCATCGAGTTGTGAGTTGTGTCCGTGCTAGCTGGGCTAGCAACAAATGTAGAATTTCTGATGCTAGCGTTGGATGTGCTCGTGGAAGCAGAACAACTTGTGTCGTCGACAGGTGCAGGTGTAGTGCTGCTGGTAGTAGCAGTACTACCAGTAGAGATGGTATGTGTCTCTATGGACGTGGGCCATACTTTTTTTTTACCATTGATCCATTTTCGAGCAAATGGAATGAGCAGCAGCTACATTTGGCTACATACGGACCGTTAGTGGAATTCCCGCAAAATAGTAACGGTTAATGTGATTGGATGTTAATTATTTGACTAGGCTACCTGTATTTGACATTGTGTTGTTATTTCGCTGAACACTAGATGGTTTAATGTTATGTTTGGCAGTGAAATTAGGCTACTCAGGTGAGGAAAAAAACATCACCCAAATGTATAGCCCCGTTGGAAAATCTAAATGGAAATTTGAAAATATGAATCACATTTTTATTTGGCGTACCCCCGAGGGCATACTTTTAACTGGGCGTACCCCAGTTTGGGAATAGCCGACATAGAGAAAAGGGGGAAAAACTCCAGATAACCTACAGCTAGACAGTTAAGATTGACTCCAATTTAAATATGGTAAAAATTGCTGTGGCTTTTAGTTTTTTTGCAGTCTTTAAACATGTAGCATTGAAAATGACCTTTCCACTCACCTTCTCTGGATGCCCTGTAGTTGAGATCTTGTGTTGTGCATTGAATCACTGTCTTTCTCCACAGCCTCCGTGGTGGACAGCTATGTAGAGGTGGCACGGTTTGCAGCCCCCATGTCCATGTGTGAGATGCCTGACAGTCTGCAGGACGCGCGAGAGCCCACCATCGCCCAGCTGCTGCAGGAGAAAGCCCTCTACTCCTTCTCCGAGTGGCCAAAGGTATAGTCCCAGGGAGTTGACCCGCAAACCACTTCGAAAGCAGTTTGTTTCATGTTTGCCAAGGCAATTGGTTGTCACTATCGGGTTAGGGTTAGCTGCAAAGCAAGAAGTAGAAAAATATATATTGAAAAAATGTGATTTTCAAACTAATCCTAACCTTAACCATTTGTATTTATTTTAATGTTACCTTTATTTAACTAGGCAAGTCAGTTAAGAACAAATTCTTATTTACAATGACGGCCTACACCGGCCAAACCCGGACGACGCTGGGCCAATTGTGCGCCGCCCTATGGGACTCCCAATCACGGCCGGTTGTGATACAGCCTGGAATCGAACCAGGGGGTCTGTAGTGACGCCTCAAGCACTGAGATGCAGTGCCTTAGACCGCTGCGCCACTCGGAAGCCCTACTCTTAACCCTAACCAAAAAGCAGATTTTCTTAATCATACATTTTCATGATATGTCGCCAATTTTGACTTTGCAGCTAGGCCATCAAATCAATCCAATTTTATTTGTCACATGCATCTTAAACAACAGGTTTAGACTAACAGTGAAATGCTTACTTACGGGTCCTTTTCCAACAATGCAGAGTTAAAGGTATTTTTGGTTTTCAAAATAATTGAAATCGTGATACAAGGAATGAAAACACAGTGAATAACGAATAAAAATAATGAATAAAAAGAACATGGCTATATATAGGGAGTATCAACTCGAAGTGCAGGGGTATGAGTTAATTGAGGTAGCTATGTACCAGGGTTTCTGTTAGCCAGAAATTGGCAGCTTTTGGTAAAACAAATTAATACATGAAAAGCCAATAAAATAAAACTGTTGCCGGCCCCCCCAAAAAAATCCCGTTGCAAAAGAATGCTTTTTATTCATTGATGGAAATGCTAGTCGATTTTGTGGAATTAAATTGGTCTGTATTTTCATTAGTCATCATGTATCTTATTTATCCAACACATCTATCACACGCACACAACATACAGACCCTATTTTGAGGGGATTTCTCCTGCAGCTCCTTAGCTGGTTGCTCCACGAGTAAAATATGTGCTTTTATAAGCCCATTCAGTGCGCAACAATTCTAAATGCAATTGCGTGTTAATAAACAGTTTTGGTGCACAATTAAAAAGAGCTAGTGCAGGCAACAGGCTATCAGCGCGTCACCCGCCACTTTACAATGTGAGCTGGAGGCAGTATGCATTTTGAAAACATACTTAATTGTTTGAAACCTGAATGTTTTCTTTCATATTATGAGGCATGTCTTACCTTGCTTCAAAGTAGCCTATAGGCAAAATCTGACCATGAAAACGTGGAGGCAATTATTTTAAAGACTTCATAGGCGGCGCGTGAGTTTCAAGTTTGTGTAAGCTTACAATTTATCCTACCATTTCTACTGTTTTGCGTGCCAGTTATGATTTTCATATGCACATTTTCGTGGAACAGTTTCATTTCCATAATAATGTTTTTGTTTCTCAAAATCATTGTCACGTGGTTAATAATAAATATCTGAATTAAAATGATACAAATCTAAAAGTTAAAAGTCAACTAATTAGAGATCACCAGCCTCTGCCATATGGACACATTGATACACCATGATCCATTGGCGGCTAAAGAAATGAGAGCATTGAACTCATAGCCTATAGGCCAATGTATCAGTAGTCCTATAACTTCCATTGCTCTTTCATACCGAGGATTGGTGATTATCGAGGGGGAGATTGTTGGAAAGATTTTTCAAATAGCTTACTGTGAGGAACTATAGTTTTAATACAGTGCCTTCAGAAAGTATTCATACTCCTTGACTTATTCCACTTTTTGTTGATATAGCCTGAATTCAAGATGGATAAAAAATTTAAAAATCTCACCCATCTACGCACAATACCTCATAATGACAAAGTGAAAACATGCTTTTAGAAATGTGCGCAAATGTATTGAAAATGAAATACAGAAATATATAATTTAGTATTCACACCCCTGAGTATTCACATCCCTGAGTCAATACTTTGTAGAAGCACCTTTGGCAGCGATTACAGCTGTGAGTCTTTCTGGGTAAGTCTAAGAGGACTCCATACCTGGATTGTGTAACATTTCCCCATCCATTCTTTTTTTTTTTTATCCTTTAAGCTCTGTCAAATTGGTTGTTGATCATTGCTAAACAACCATTTTCAGGTCTTGCCATAGATTTAAGTCAAAACTGTAACTCGGCCACTCAGGAACATTCACTGTCTTCTTGGTAAGCAATTCCAGTCTAGATTTGGCCTTGTGTTTCACGCAACAGATGTCAACCAAGCGTGCAACAGAAGAGTGTCTAGACTCGGTTTGTTGTTTCTATGAAATAGTTTTGATTAACCCTCTAGAGTCAATGTCCGCACCCCCATGGAAATCTAATTATTATCATAATAAAAAAATCCCCATAAACATCTGTCAGTTTAACGAGAGATATCTGGGTTTGTTTTTTTGCATTGGATGCGTCTCAATCCACCATATCCGCCGATGTCGCACTTCAAATAGCAAAATTATCCTTCTTAAAACAATTCCATATAGTTTAGTAGAACCCCCCCCCCCCCCGGGGCTTAGACTGTAATTGGTTAAATAGTTTTTAATCATAGCTAAAGTTTTTATTGCGACAGATTCCGCAACGCGGTTAGCCTTTACGGCTGGGACTGTAAGTTTGTGTTCCGGATTTCTGTTAAGTAGCAGTTAGCTGCTACCCGTCATGAAAACAGAGCAGGCTAATGCTAGCAGTGCTAGCTCACCTGTGTTTTTATTCACGGCTGGGCACTAATGCTTTAGGTGTGAGATGATTTCCACACAATCACAAGATAAAGATAAGGTGGAACTGAAAAGTGGACAGGGATTTGTCTGCCCTAATGCAAGAGATCATCCGGCTGCTCGCTCAGCTGCGAGAAAAGGATAACCTGCTTTCTAAGTACACTGACCTTGCTGTAGCCCAGGCAAACCGAATCTCCATTATAAATGCCTCCTATAGCAAACCTGTCTGAGTCGGGCGGCATTGATCTGTCCCAATCCAACAGACAGATGTTAAGCTCAACTCTGCGGCCCATGGGAGACTGGATATTCGCAAGGCGTGGGAGATTAGGAAGGCAGTCTGGCCACCCTTAATCTATCCGAGAAGATCCAATCCAGTTATTAAACAGCTTTGCCCCGCTTGAGACGGACCTAACATCCCCGGGAGTCAGCACAGATCCTGGGAGTATACCACCAGCCAGCGGCTGCCCAGTGGCACCCTCCCCACGGCCACCACAGTTCAGCAGGTCACTGACTCAAGACCGAAGGGTCTCGGGCCATCTTCCACCATCCTGGGGTTTCCGACGCCATCAACCCGAGGCTGTCCCAGCCCGCTCCCCCTCTTCCTTCCCCATCGGATTCCATCACGAGCACCATCATTGTGGGCTGCTCGATGGTGAGAGATTTTGGCCTGCCTACGGTCTGTGGACCGACCAAGGTCCACTGTCACCCAGGAGCCTGTGTCCATGACGTCAACTCCCTCCTGCCCACGGTTCTGGCCAACTACTCCAATATTGACACCATCGTCACTCAAGTAGGTTTTAACGACCTTCGCTTTAGGCAATCTGAGGAACTGAGGGAGGACTACAAACATTTTTTAACACCCTCGCTAGCACAGGGAAGATAATAATTATCCCTGGCCCCCTCCCGTGCTATCGAAGGAGTTCAGAACGTTTCAGCCGACTCTTTGCCCTAAACGAGTACCAGGAAACTCTGCAATGACAGGAATGTCTCCTTTTGTGACAACTTTGATTTGCTGTGGGAGCAACCATTTCGCTACCCTCGCAATAACATCTGCTAAATATGTGTATGTGACCAATGAAATTTGATTTGAGCAAGCACTTTTTAAAAGAGACAGGATTCACCCTAAACGCAGGGGTTCCAGGATTACTTCCAGCAACATCGCAACCTGCTTTAGAGACTGACGGACAGGGTCTGGTATTGCTCCAGTCCTCCCTGTCAGAATAAGTAACAGAGGACTTGGCAAGCATATCAACTCCTGTAGAAATGGCACCATGGTCATTGTGAGTAACCTAATTTATGTTCCTCTATCTCTGCCTTCTAGTGAGTGTATACAAACTGTCATATCCTAGCATTGTGATAGATTGGAGACTGTCAGAAAATGTGATTGTTATTCCATTGATTACCTCGAGGCAGATGCCCCAGGGGCAAGAGTGGCCCACACTCATTAAATATGGCACTTTTAAATGTTATAGCAATCACTAGTAAAACCTTTCTCGTGAATGACCTTGTTACTGAGCGCAAAGTTGATTGCATGTTTCTCACTGAAACATGGCTATCTAAAGACTGTAGTGGCGCACTTATTGAAGCCTCCCCCCCGGATTACAGCTTTTCATACTCTATCAGAAAAGGGAAAAAGGGTGGGGGGAACAGCCTCTATTTTTAATAATGCTCTCAGCTTTAAGGACATTTCATTTAGCGACTTTGGGTCTTTTGAGCATCATGCTATACTGTTTAAATGTCAGCCACCAGTGCTGCTATAACACTGTAAAGGCCACCAAAGCACTACCCTACATTCTTTCATGATTTCTTTGAACTATTGTCTATTGTCCTTGAGAACTATGATCAAATCATTGTGTTGGGCGATTTTAATATTCATGTTGACAAAGACTGACTCCAAGGCCATTGAATTTATGACTCTTTTGGACTTTATCCAACATGTTACTGGACCCAACCATAACCGCGGCCATACTCTAGACCTGGTTATTACCAAGGGGCTTTCTATTGAAATACAGTGCATTCGGAAAGTATTCAGACCCCTTAACTTTTTCCACATTTTGTTATGTTACAAAATAAATAATATTCTGACCCTTTACTCAGTACTTTGTTGAAGCACCTTGGCAGAGATTACAGCCTTGAGTCTTCTTGGGTATGACGCTACACGCTTGGCACACCTGTATTTTGGGAGTTCCTCCCATTCTTCTCTGCAGATCCTCTCAATCTCTGTCAGGTTGGTTGGGG